TGAAGTCCACAGTGCAACCATTGGAACTATAGTTCTTTGTTTGAAGATTAACATACTGACTAATTAGTCTGACCTAATCTTATCATCACCCCAAGCCCAAATTTACTAATCCCTCTTGAAGTCTACAGTGCAACCATTGGAACTATATTTCTTTGTTTGACTTCTGAAATTTTGCCTTGAAACAGGGACAAATGAGATAATCAACCTCAAAATACATATAGCGTAACATATTTCAAAAGCCTTTCACTTGCAATGCACCACCAGTATTTTCAAGAGTAAACAATTCAGAAGTGAAACCGGAAACTGTCATTTTATATCATTCCACTCATTCTTGAGCATAATTTGTTTCTTTTGTGAATTTTCAGCATGTAACAAGTAGAACCACATCTAAAAAACATACAAAACATATAAGATAATGTACAGGTCGATATATATTCAACTATCGTTTTAAAAATAAAAGATTTTATTTGATTTAGTTCGGACGGACATGCGTCATATCTGCCATCGGCTGATAATTTAGGTCGTTGCGTTCTTACATTCCATTGAAGATTATTTTCTCTGTCGCTCAAAAATCATGTTTGATCATAATATATGTTGCTTTTCATTCCCAAATATACATTTACAGGTTTGTCTCAAGGCAAAAAACAAGGATTCGTGCGCGAAAAGTAAAAGTAAATGTTTCAACACCACATGCGTCACGCATTTAAATATCGCAAGAATGTTTACAGATTACTTACCTCGATTCTTCGCTAGGATTTTCCAGTTTTCTATCTAATTCGGATTCCTCACCACTAGAGATACCACCATGCTCACTTCCATCGTCAAAAATCACCTCTAAAGCCTTAGCTACGCTGTATCTCTAGCGTTTCTCATCGGACGCCATTATCGCAGACTGAAATCGTACGCAAATAATTTTCGGATCGGGCTCCCGAGGTCACGTTTGATAGTTCGCCATGTGATTGGCTTAGAATGTTTACATGCTGCAGCCGAAATTTCAGAGCGATCGGACGTAATCCGAGCATTTCCGAAAAGGTCAAAGTCATCGTGCAATTTTGCACGATCGGCCAAAGGCCTATTAATATGGTGAACGCGTTTTGCTATCGTGTTCAACCATTACACATGATAGAATTTTAGTCAAGAATAGCCATTAACTCCTTTTTAAGGGAAAATATACTGCGCCGGCCACTTATTGTTTGACTGTTAGTCGGCCCTTGTATGGCTGAAACCAAGTTGATTTTCGATTTTCTGCTTCGCTGTTTGATTATTTAATTTGATGTTTTTGTTTGTTTATTTGTTTTTTTGCATAAAAATCAGGAATTCGCCGCCGCTGTTCGCATTAAGATAATGAAGAGAACAACCCACATTTGAGCTTCTTTTCGTTAAAGGTTTTTAACAGTACAGAGGCTAACAAGTCGCTTTAAGACACGGAATCCGTGTTAAATAAGATTATGGTAATGTTTAGTCTGTGCCGCATTGCTTCAAAGAGAATTGACGCCATACTAACGCCGAATTGACGTCATAGTCGAGAGATTTGTCAAAGAATGCACGACAGGAGTTGTTTATTAGCAAACTTGTCCCAGAAATGATAAAGGGCTTCCCTTCATATCTTTTGCTTTTCGTTCTTTGTGAAGTGTTAATTAGGATATGCTTTATATGTTATACATTTCTTTACTTGTTTACGGTAAGGAGGGGGTTTCGGAAGATTTTGGTTAAGCTTTTGATATAAGATTTACCTGATGTCCATAAGGTTCTAAAATGCTCCAATGATTCCTCTCCTCTCCCCCCCCTTCCTTCTTTTGCACTTAATTTCTCTTTAGACTCCTCTTATGTCAGCGACGACTGTTCCCCCCTAAGTCTCTCGGCTGATTCCTTACGGCAGTATTGAGCTTGCTTACCCTTTCTCATTCCCCTGAATATGGGTCGTTTTTTAACTACTTTTCTAAGACGTCCCGAGGGTCTTACTTCTTCTCGGAAGCGGAAAAAGAGAGAAAGACTGGGAACAAACTTGAAAATCAGCCTTAAAAAAACAATCTGTAATATAAACTGAAAAGTACCTGCTAACGCAGTCTTTACCATTTATGTATTTGAACGTTTGTGTTTTGTTTTCATCCAGCTGTACGGAGACGGAGAGGAAGCAGAATTAGCCTTCCCTGCATACTGACGACTGGCTGAGCCAACAACCCGAGACAAGAAAGGGAAAAGGTCCTTTTTGAGACCACACCGGAGTTTGTTCGGCTAAACACACAAACATGACGAAGAGATGTTACTTGCAAAAATAATGGTACTTATATTTTGGATGCAGTTGGACAGAGATTCGAGCCACTGAGTTTGAAATGATTTCTTCTGACAGAATTGTTGCAGGAAGTTGACATAATTTCTCTGATAGTGAAAATTAGCGTTGTCCATCATTTATACCAAATATCATGGTATTACTTTTCAAAAGACAGAAACAACTTGTAAACACAACAAAAACATTTCTGCTTCGGTCGGGGTGCATGTACATTAGTTTGTTTGATTTCCTGAATTATTTGGTCACTGAAAGCTCATCTATTAATATACTTACTGTATAAGTGAAGTAATATCTATCGGTAAGAGTTGTGATACAACATTGCCATACTTCGTTGGTTAACTTTTTTAAAGGGAAAAAAAAAACGCGAATGAAAGTTTAAAAAAATCATAATGAAAAAAGCTGAAGGAGAAGCATCATTTTGTTTGTACCATCAAAGAAGCAAAGGAGAAAATATTGGTTAAAAAGCAAATATCAGTGGCCTATTTTGAAAAGGTGCCGGCGTATATAAGATCAAAGAGTCTGTAATCATCGTGATCTGCACCAACTGTCTCAGAGCTGGCAATACATTTCTAAAAAGTACATTTCTTAAAATTCTGTATTCTTTCAAGGAGAAATTACAACTTATAAACTATTGTGTGCAACTCAGGCAACCGCGAACACTTTGATTTGACTCGGAAAGGTCAATTATACATTGGTCAGTCAAATTGACGTTTAGCACAATTAATCATCGCTGCTGTTCGCGCTCTAGTTTTCTAAAATCTAATTGACTTTACTTTTCAAACAAAAAAAACCCGCAAAACCTTCTATGAATATTTCTGGTGTATTTAACTTTCTGAGTTTCACAGTAACTGATATCTGAAAATTGATTTATCATACCATTTTTCCTGAACATCAGGTAGATGTAAAACGTCAATGCCATTCTTCTCCGAATTAGCCTTCAGATCTTTTCATGCCATAACGTAGAAAAATCTGGATAATACACCTCGCTTTTCGATCGGTAACTGATCAAAGATGCAACATGGACAACATATTCTCTCTCTAGTCAAAGCCAGGTCCGAAAAAAATTGATAAATCTCTGAAAGCACAAGCCCCTGCTTTTGAAGATACTTTTATCGAAAAGAAATTCGAATTCCTTGAATTCTTTTAACGTCCAAGCCAAAACCGCTTTTAATGGCGGAGTCACTCCTTGTGCTAGTTTTCGTTGGATGAAAGTAGTGACTCCAACCTTGCGCAACTTTTACCACCGAGGAATAAAATGCATTTGCATAAGTAAGGACTTGAGAGGCAGACAACACTCCAACCATAGAACTGTGAGCACGAGAAGGGTTTTGAAAACGCGAAAGAATGTGTCTTCTTTACAAATCGCATTTCAGGTGACGGAAACCGTGCAGCCAACCATAATTCTGTAATGTAAAATTGGACTTCATCTCACGTTTTTCCTGCTAATGGGAAAATGGAAAGAGTGTACCACAATTTCTTCTCTTTTTTCTGCAACCCCTTGAAGTTCAGTATTCACAGATCATTGCACCTGCAAAACAGGAAGACCATTCTTTTAATTCCGCTCCTGATTAGATGACTGGTGGAGTCCTCAAGCAACTGAGGACTTCCTCGTATTAAGTTGATTTCCACATATAATGAATCAAGTTATCTAAGACATTCTTTTAGAAAACTTAGCTTTAACCGACTTCTGTTCAACTAATCAAAAATCAACCATTATATCTTTTTTTTTTCCGCAACCCTTTGACGTTCAGGATTTGCTGATCACTGCACTTGCAAAACAGGAAGACCATCCTTTTAATTCCGCTCCTAACAAGATGAGAAATGGATTCCCCAAGTAACTGAAGTCTTGCTCGTAGTACGATGATTTTAGCATAATGAGTAAAGTTATCAAGTATATAATTATATAAAACTCAGCTGGAGCCGATTTTTTTTCCACCTCCTTTCGAGGGTGTTCCTTTACCTTCGGAGAACAACAAAAGAATCTGCAAATTGTGAAATAGGATTATTCAGTCAAAGGAAAATTACTTATATCCCTGAAAGAAACCGTTCATTTAGTAACATGTTTATTGAATCACACAACGGCTTGGATACATTGACTTTTATATAAGCAAACATATGGTTAAATTGATTATTTTCTCAGTCTAAGGTCTGGCTAAGGAGTCAAGAAAGAGAAAATCACTAACAGTTTAAATGATTACATATTTTCTTTTTTTTTTAACACTCAGGAAACAAATAACTATATCATGATAAATGATAATTCTTAAGCCCCACAAATATATCATTAAAACAAACCGACGACTTAAAAGCCCACGACTTGATTTACAGAATAATCTATAACTACTGTGACTAGTGAAGTCGGAATATATATTGCACATCAACAACCAAATTGGACCTTTTAAGCGAGCCTTAACTATTGCGACTAATCAATAAGTGAACGAAAAAATACCAAGATCATGAACGCTTCGAGAACAGTTATTTTCATGAAGACAGATTTTCCTCCACTTGTCGTCACGGTCCTTCCACATACACCAACTTCGCAGATTTCCAAGCTCGTACAGCGTCCGTTGCTAAACCTCTCCGCTGCTTGAATGTACTCAGGGAACGAGCATCGCCAACGAAAACCGGTGGGAGCATTGACATCATACACACTAGTGTTGTTGGTGAAGGCGCAAAAGGAAAACCCCGGGGGTATTACGAGAAACTGTCGGGACTAGTAGGTGACGATTTTTGCTTTGGTGATGGAATGCGAGACTGCGCCTTGTACTTCAGAAGAACCTTTTGCTGTCAGCGGGCCGGCCTTCTTTTCTACCTCCGCTCTCAGAGTCCCAGTGACTGATACTGTCGTAGTCTTCTGATCCACATGAGAAATTGACTTCTTCAACTCGGAGACACAAGCACTGGAGTTTGCTCCATTAAATTTAGGACAGAACTCGGTGGTTTCTGGAACCGCGCATCGTAATCCAGCTTTCGTTGGCCCTGAGAGGTCGGGGCAGTCGTAAACGTTCCATCGGACTGTTCCGTCGCTCTGGCAGGTGATTCGAAGCTGATTGGCAGGGGTGTCCCATGCAGTACGTTCTTCTGATGACCCGCAGAACCATCTGATTTCTCTTTGCCTGCCTGGAAGTTTAATTCTCTTTTCCATACCTTTGTGTACCTCTTGCTCGAGGATTTTGATATAATTGGCACTACGGCACTTGTCGGAGGTGTTTTCAACCAAGGAACATTCCGATTGAGCCAACACAGAATTATCTTTTAGACTGAAACAGGCTACTGCTGTCAATATTACAACAGCAAGTTTGTAGTCCATATTTGCACAGTCAGTCGGGAAATTTCAGTGGTGAAGTCGGATCAACACGAGAGGCTAGTTTTCGTCTGCTATCAGGGCTATGAATTGTGGTAACAAGTTCATGTGATAACGTTATTTTGGTTGTGTCCTTGTGTACCGGTACACAAAGGAACGAAACATTAACGAACTGCATCACAACTCCATGTATGGATATGAAAACAATAGGAATTCCCCCGTGTACCGGTATACTAGGACAGCCCCGTTATTTTATCGAGCAGACCTCGAGCTGAGCCAATATTTAATTTCCGTTTTTTGTTTTTGGCTTCATTATTGAAAGCTGTTGATGCACGTTAAAAAATTCGGACAATGAAGTAAATTAAGGGTTATGACATACCGCAACAAGTGGCCATGAGAATTTTGTGTGTGTCTCCGTCATTGTTTGTGAAATTGTTTTCCGACGAAAGATCCCTTACTCTCGTTATTTTGTCGAAAATGGATAAACCTACTTTCAACACGAGTTTGTTTGCGCCGTCAACAGAGAGGTGATATATTTTGTTGGAAAATTTTGGCCTCAGGAGGGAGAGCATTATGCTTATTCAGGTCTAGATTTGGCAGTGCATGGAGTAACAACAGCAAATTAATTTTATTGCTGTGGGTGTCTTCAGGTGTCAGTTTTTTATCAATCCATTTTGCGTACAAGCGTACAAGTCTTTTCTAATTGACACAGCTGTTTAGCCAGTTATGTTGAATATTAGCAGTATATCGAAGAAGGAATACGCTCAATTAAGCCTGAATTGCTTCTTCCCTTCAACTAAAAGAAAACAGGAATATTATGCTAAAAATTTTCATCAAACAAACGACAAGTTTTTTCGCAAACCGTGCAGGTTTTCATGCATGTGGAAGTAAGGCCGATGAAAGAGATAATCAGCATTATTGTTAGAGAGGTGAGGTGATACCTTTTGCTTTCCTTCTATTCTGTTGTTGAAATTTCGATGGGAATAAACTTTCAGGCTAACAGAGCCATCGTGTTTCATTTGAAACGATTGGCACCTTCTAATCACTTTTATCTACAATACATTCGCTTCTACTATGTGAGTTCCTTTCTCTCAATGATATTGGCACCGCTTGATGACCATGATCATATATCTTAATGATATCTAGCATATCTCAATTTTACAGCTAACCGAAAGAGCCTTTGTCAAATGGTGTTCGGTGATCTCCTAGAAGCAATGGCTCAGTACAACGGGTAACAGAAACAAGCTAAGCCGGGAGAGTCCCACCCAATGACTCTCACTGAGATTCATATAGAAGGCCTTAGCAGTGTCATCCATCAGCCGTCAAACTTCCCAAGTAAATTTAATGATTTAACCGTCAACTGTTAAAAAAGATTATTAATTGCGAACCTTCTTTTAAAAGTCCTCCTTATCATTAACCGTTTCCCATAATATGCTCTGAGGCGAAAGAATCAGGATTGCCAAGATCTGGCAACGGCGTTTGCTCTTATGAAATCGGAAAACGGAGTACTATTTGAAACTTAAAATGACTTATTGTTTCCTGTTAGAATTGGCTTTAATACCTCAAAAAGAGTGACCCTCACCAGTTGTTCATGTTTTTCAATGTTAATAATTTTATTTCGATAAGCGTTAATGGACCAACAGAAACCATTGTTAGACTCTGAGGTTGATCCCAACTTCAAACCGGTGTCCAACCTCATGTTAACTTTGTCTCTGAAGCAACGGAGAGGGTTATAGCTACGCAGCTGTTGGAGTACTTGGTACTTGACGGTCTAAACGAAATTTATCAGTCCGCATATATCACAGCACTGATACCGCCCATCTGCAGGTCCTTCGCGCGATTGATAACAAGACCTGTCAACAGCCTTCGACACGGTCGACCATGAGATATTACTGTCACGCCGCAGGTTTGGCATCACTGGAATTGCCATGGAGTTCACGTAATGCGGCTCCTACATGTGTAATCGCGGTCAGCTTGTCTGTATCGACAATGTGAGGTCTATAAGATCTTCTACCTGGCGGTTGAAGTCTGGGGTACCTCAGAAATCTGTTCTCGAAGCTATCTTTCCTCTGATGTAACAGCACCTTGCGGGACATTCTGCGCGAGCAAGGTATATCGTACCATACATACGCAGATGAAAAACAGCTTTTTGCCTCCTTTCGTCCTGGTTAAGATTGCCAGCTCGAATCTGCAGTCCACAAATTAAAAACCTGTGTCACTGCAATAAAACAGTGGATGGGTGCCAACAAGCTCAAGTCAAATAAGGATAAATCTGAGATCCTTGTCTTGGGCTCTAAATTTAGATTTCAGCCCAACATATATTCTTTAGATGTTGGAGACGTAATACATGTACCCCAGCAGATATAGGAGTTGTATTCAACAAATATCTTAGCATGACACATCATGTCGATACCATCTGTAAATCCTCTTTTTATCAACCTAAGTGCATAGCTAAAATCGGAAAGTTCATAACTCCGGAGTTTGACAAAATCCTCATTCCTGCATTAGCTATCTCCAAGCTTGATCACTGTAACGCTCTGTTGTATGGTGTCAACAAAAAGATTACCACAGAAGTATACAGTATGTTCAGAATTCTGCGGCGCGGTTAATAGCATATACCAGGAAATGTAACCAAGGCATATTATACCAGCTCTCAAATAACTTCACTTGCAGTGTGCTATGCATAAAATTGCATCTTATTTTTTATAGTGTTAAATAATCATGCAGGCACTTAGCTACATTTCAAGTATGATTAACTACATTTCAAGTATGATTAATTACTACAGGCCTACTATAGACGAGTTAGCATCTTCTGCCAACCGTCTCCAAGTAGCAAAATCCTAGACTGAAACTTATGGGGACAGAGCTTTTAGTGTAGCTGCTCTGTTTATATGAATCTTTTTTTTTTCTTATTTTAAAACCTTTTTTTAAGGTGATTTAGTGTTATCAACTGAGTTCAAAACGTAAATTAGAAAGTTCCAGGAGCTTTTGTTTTTTAATTTTAACTGTTGAGATCTTCAAAGTTTGTAATATTGCAGTAGTAGGTTAGATAGCTTTCTCTTGTACGTCGTAAGGCGCTTAAAGGCTCTACATAAACGTTATATGAATTTTATATATTATTATCATTCAAAGCTGATTCTTTTTTTTTTAATGTTTGACAAGCTTTAACTAACGAGAGTATTTTTATAATATTATTTCATTGTTCTTTCCTCTACCTGTTTTTTTGGTTTTTTTTTTATTCACTCTAAATAATACTCGTTGACTGTTGGTTTTCAAACAGCCCCAGATTGCGCCATTAAATACTAAAAATCCAAGCTTTCCTGAGTTACTCCAGTTGTCCATCGACCCACTTATGTCTTTAATAATGTACACGAAAAAATTACGCGCTCCTGCTTGGCTGAAAACGAGTGCGTTCTCATGTAACGCGAGTTCAAAGTTGTGACACGAGTACAAATTACGCTATGCACTCTCTAGTAAGGGTCCCGTGGCAAATAAAATCATCTCACAATTAAGAAACAAATCAAGACAAGTGTAAGCATATCTAAAAACATTTATTTTAAAAATAGAATTGATAAATAAATATATAATCTATTATAATATAGAATGCTTACAAACTATTTCCGATAATATGGGAAAATTCTTTGTTGTTTTAATGATCTTGACTTGATTGTTAGTAATTTCTTAAAAATAAATATATGCCAATGAATTACAAGGCATTTTTAATAAATATCCAGCAGAAAAATACACTTTTTATTGTTTTTCTTATTGCTTTTTTTTGATATATTGCCTGCTTTTGCCACAACGAATGTGAATTCTAACAAATATAACCAGCTTTTACAAAAAGCGGTATTTCAAAATACTCTAAGAAGAGCTCTGACTTAAAAATTAATCTTATGAGTTAACTTATCCAATGCTGAGCTGTTACAAACTCTACTTTATAAATCACTGATACAGTGTACATGAACAAACTCTTTTCAATCAGTTCACTTTGCATGTTTTACACGCGCGCTTTCTTATGGCGGGCCGCAGGTAAATGAGACTAAGTTTGAACTCTCCCAATACTCCTAATATCCAGGCTTTCTGTCGATGAATAGAATCGCTCCAGATTTTTCTGTTTGGCTGTGGAACTTGAGGCAGAGAAGAATTTCCAGGGGACTGGGAACTCAAACGGACCTGTAAACAAAAAGGAAAGGGACGTTAGAGGAAGAACTAATGCTAGTGGAGACTCAGAGGAAAAAGAAAAGACCAGAATTTTTTTAGGTGTATCGCTGTCACATTAACATATATAAAATATGCTTGCGTATAGAATATAGAGAATTTTCTGGATGACTAAATTGATAAAATAAAACAAAATAAAAACTGCTCTCTTACCACTTTCTTCATGAGTTTTTTCAGGTGTTGAAGGCGTCCTTGAATGCCTCTAAGGTTATCTTTAATTTCTTTGTTTTCTCGTTGACTCTGGGACCAATTTTGTGTAATATCTTGGAAGACTGAGTGAAATATAGCCACTTGTTTGTATGCCTTCGATGCAAAAACGTGCAACTGAAAGTAAGAATATGAAAACTCAAATTAGATGTCAGCTGCCACAATGAATAAAAACATCATGACACCAAGATCAGAGTGATTTCTTCTGCTCTGTTTACCCTTAAATTCCCAATAGTTCGCAGCATCTAATTTCTCCATCAATATCATCCCTGAAACAACTCAGATCAACTTACCGGGAGCCTTTTGCGGTTATCCAGCAGCTCTACTCCTTTCATGGTTACTGGTCTTGCTTCCAGAGGATCGCCGAAGTATTTTTGAGCCTAAATAAAAAAGATACAGAGGTTTAAAATTCAGAATGCTTTGCCTAACTGTAGAATCTAGCTTCTTTAGTGCTCTCCAAACTTCCCAAGTGCATCCTAACTCGATATACGCACAACCAAAGCAAGAACCAATTCTTTTACAACATAGCACGCAGACGCAAGTTGTCCTCGAAAAAAAGGAGTTTATTACATCTGTGCCGGGTTTACCAGGTAAACGTATTCTACCCGAAAACTATGAATAAACAACAAGGCAAAAACGGTCGTGAAACATTTCGAGAGCAAATCTTAATACAAAAAATTGTAAATTTTCTGTCCAGATGTGAAAAACGAACGAGTTTCTTGCATGCACGCGATCACGTAGTAGATGCTTGAATCGTTGTTTACTAGAATTCACGGCCAGAAATTTGCGTAGATTCGTGTCGAAATTTTTAAAAAATTCTGAAATTGTACGGTTTAAAATTAAAATCTTCTACTGAACAATACTTTTAGGAAATATCAACACTTAAAAATAATACCAACCGTTCGAAAAACGAAGCGAAAAACTTAAAAATCTCATCCATTTACGAGACTTGTCTGGTAGATTAACCCTACTTGAATTGTTGTTTACTAGAATTCACGACCAAAAATTGCGTAGCTTTGTTTTTTGTTTTAAAAATTCTGAAAATTTTTCGATTTCAGAACAAATTCTTATATTGAACAACATTTTTGGGACATATAAACACTTCAAAGCACTATTTACAGTTTCAATGAAGGGTCCCCAAAGTCGTAAAGCCTCAGTTGAAGTCAGTAAATTAATTTTTGTTTTCAGCCATAATTCGCATCGCGTTTTGGAATGAAGTATCGTCAACTCCAAAACTAACTTCGTCGCTTGAAAGAGCTACGTACTAATTGTTTTTCGAAAAGAGTATTATTTAGCAATTTTTTTTTCATTTTGAGCTCCAAAAGGGCTATCTCAATCAGGATAGATCGGAAAAACTATCTCAAAATTTTTGAAACCTCCCGGTTAAACGCGAGGGGAACTTTCGGCCGAAGTGAAACTTTATGTGTTATGATGGATGAATGGCCATGCAGTACCTAAGAATTTTTACTATGGTAGCTCCATAGAAAATTATGTTATAATTAACAAATCGACAGTGGTTTAGCGTGGTCTGTACTCCTTACCAACAACTATATTCGTCATCATTGGGGTCAAACTGTTGTGGACTCACGAGGCGCAGCCGACTGATGGCCGTGTCTTTTTGGTGTGTTTGGAAAGTGAAAGCTGAATTTAATTTCTGACTGGCTAATTGACAATTGCTTCTGCTATTAAGAATATTCATACTAGCTTTTGAATAGGAAGTGAACGCTACTACTCGGTAATACCCTTCCAGGGAATTCTGTAGTCATGGTAAATTTACCTTAGAGGTTTTTTTTCTTCGCAAATCCTACCCCGCTCCTTATTACATTGTACTATACGTAACTCGTCCTAAAAAATAAAAAAAAACTAAAACATTTATTTCTCTTTACTTACAAAAGCTCTTTTTGTTTCGTATGCCAAGTCATTCAGCTTTGGTTGTTGATATTCACAGAGATAGGCCATCCGCCTGAAGAACTCTTTGATTCGGTCACGTTGTACTTCCTTCCCAAGTGGAGCACCAACAGAATAACGAGTAACTCCAACCAACAAAATTAAAAGGAATGAAACGCCTGAAAATTAAAGAAGAATATGAGAAATTCTGTAAACAATAACCAAGGAAAAAACACAGATATGTCTTTCTTATAAGTACTTCAAAGAATAAGGAAATGTGGATGAAATAACAAAATTAGTTTGGGCCGGTAAATCTACGTAAATCACGTAAACGCGGGAGCGAAATGTCCTGCAATAAGATACGTGTTAGGAACTGATTCTCCTCAAATTGAAACTTGATATGCTCGATCGTCTTTCAGTATCAGTAAGTTAAACTAATTCACTTAACTTCCTATTCCATGAAACTCACCTCTCAGTCTCAGTAAAGCGCTACCCATAAAAGGAAATGTAGTCAAAACGGCTTAAATTACTTAAGTTATTTCACATACGATACTCTTAAATTCACAACTTCAAACACTTAGGGATAGCTTGACTGTAAAATATAAATTAAGATAGGTAAACTGCAGGGAAACTTACTTGTTGCACCCATGTCAACGACGAAGCAGTTTTCTTCAGCGAAATTCAATGTACCAGTCAATAATCGCAAGGATCAAATTTCAGTGAAAACGCAGATTGGTAGTTTTACTCTGAAGTGAGAAAACCCCATGTTGTGCGGCTGTTTTTATGGAACAACATATAACAAGAGGAAATCCTTTTTGAATGTCATGTTTCTAAATTTCAAAATGGGTATTTTCCTCCTAAGCAAATCGGAACCTTCCGGAGCTCTTGATTACTGGGACTTTTCAACTCGAGTTCATCCAGTATGATGTGGTCCCATCGTCTTCCTTCCTAAAACTGCCTCTTGATCACTCTATAGTTACGCATATAAGTAACTGCAGGCTTTACACACAGTTAAAAAATTTATTTCGGAATAAAACTTATTGAATTAAGAAGTTTAAAGTTTACGATATGTTTAAGTTGTGAACTTCAAAAGGGGTTTTTTAGTTAACCGGAAATGAATACTAATCTATCTTAACATACTTGAATTTCCCATAGACCGCAAAGGCTGAATGAAAATTGCCACTAATTTTACGGGTATCATTTGTAAAAAATAATACTTCACAAAGACTTCCGGACAAGAGGTTAAAACCAGTGAAAACTGGTACGCACTGGCCATGGTAGCGTAGGCCTGATATGTTAATTGGTAGTAGACATAAACACAAGTATCTAGCAGGTCTCTAATAAGAGAGCTATTATTAGGCTGTTCAAAAAATTTGCATTCTGGTTAGACACTGTAAACATTGTAACAGCAGTGTTCTAAAATTAGCAAATGCGTCTGACAAATAGAGCATGACTGTAGTAGATTCGGCGAAAGGTAACGCTGATACCGTGCACATTCACGTCCTTCCTGATTCGAAAAATTCTAATTAATTTCGCATTGCGCCATGTCCTGAACGTCACACAGAGATGAGCTTAAGGTCCTGTCTGGAAGTTTACCAAAGTATCTAAAACAAGCGACGATTCAGATGACTCATGTTTTTGATTAGTGCTCCCGATGAATGCATCGACAATCTGAATATTTTGTAAAACGAGTGAAATAAGCCAAGTTGAATGAGAGTGTTTAAAAGATCGCCCTTCTTTTTGCCCTATCTTTATAACAATTGAGCTGTGAAAATGGTTTACAATTATCTGAGAAAGCAATCTTCAAGAACAAGGTGACGTGACGAAAAGTAACAATGAACAAAGCTTGGCTGCAAATGCAAATTTGTTAACGAGAAAGTGAAGTCAACTGTGGCATTCGGCTCATTGTTTAGAATAACTAGTGGCCGGTTATTTACACAAGGTTTATCCGGCTAACCAATTGTTTTCTCAGAAAACAATTGGTCATCATGATGATATTGATTTTTGTGACTAGTAACAGAGGGCCTATTACTAATTCTGGTGAAATAGCTATTTACGTGCTTCAAACAATCTACTTGTAAATACATTTTTAGATACATTGATGGACATATCTACCGGCTAAATGGGTTGGTTCTGGCTGCAAGAATCTATTACGGCTGGTAAGTAACAAATAATAATTAAAAAAACTGATCGCAATTGGTGTTTTTTATTTTATTCATGAGACGTGAAAATGAGACTATAGCCATAGTCGGAAACGCACATTTGTAAACACTTCATTTAATTTCTTCAATAAAAGTCATTTGTCGTCTGCAAAGCCTTATTTATTTATATCCATTGGTTTTCTAGCAGATACGCAGTAAACTAACACAAATATACAATGAGTTTGCAATAGAAAGACTTAAATTAAACCAAAACATGGCGTTGTAATGATGAAAGTATATTGCAATAGCTGTGGACGTCCATTTCAGAGCAAAGCATCGTGCAACAGAGCCTTATCGATTGATTCGATAAGTAAGGTACTCAAATGCAAATAACTGGCACAGTCACAATCTTATTCATGACATGTTAGAGATCCTCATTTTATCTCATAAACGGACATAGATTTTTAACTCAGGAAAATTGCGCGTTTCCCATTGTTTCAGCATTGACAAAAATTGATTGATGATTTCATGGCCTTCATTGAAGATGGCAGAGAATAATTGATCAATCATTCAATGATATCCTTCAGTATTGGTCCTAAGAGTTTCAACACTGACCACTTTACAAAATAAACGAACTTAATTACGTCGCAACATGACCAACATCGTGGTTTAAACTTTAAAAAAAACGTGAATAAACCAAATTCAAAAAAATGGAAAAGCAAAATAAAGAGGCAAAACAGCAGAAGACTTCAAAGGATTTCTTTTTTCCTTTTATATTTATCTTAATTACTTCAAGAGTCTCATAAGATGCTTTTATTCAAATTATCCACTCACTGTGGGGCTTCTCTTGTGGATTGAAATCCTTGTTGATTCTCTGTGATGCTTCAGCGGGTCATCATCGCGAGGTTCTCCTGTTGTCTGCCTTTCACAAAAACGCACAGTTCGAATTCCAATTTAGTAGAGAAAAACAGTAAACGAAGGGCAATCTCGTGGATGTCACAGTGATATCGCCCGATTCGTTTCCACCAATTTAATTGGTTTTCTTTTAAATTGTTGTTTGGATTTGGAGCTCAAAATAAGTGTAAGATTCTAAGCAAGGTAAACAATTTGGAGTCAAAGTTAAAGCTATAAGGAAACTGCCTTAATGTACAAGGAGGCCTTGTTGGATTGAAATTATCGTCCGCTAAAATAGACAGACAGCGAGAAGGCGACATTAGACAGAAAGGAACGAGTACGTGTGAGAAGAGAAAAGATCGACACATTGTAACTGAACTGAAAGAAATTAAGCTAGGTTTCGACAGCGTGACGGAACAAGTACAACGGTAAGTTTTGCCTTAAATCGTGTGAGGCGGTGTCTCAGCTAATACGGAACAGTATAATGACGCAAGCAGCTGGTGACAGATGACAGACCGGGAAACAGACAGGACTCCCGAATTAAAGGATGTAAAGAGGTCAGTTCAATTTGCTCTTTTACCTGTCGTCTCATCTTGGGAAGGTGTAGATCTAACTTTAGTATCAATTTAATTAAATACTCAGTTTTCGACCAATCAACGATACAGTCATAAGTGTTACAAAAATTCAAATTTATTCAAATTATCAAAACTAGAAATACGAAGTACAATCGTTAGAGCTCACAAAATGTAGAATTGAATGAAATTTAATAACATTTGCTCTCTAATGACTCTTAAGTCAAGTTGAAAAAATACTCTCTAAATTTATTTTAGTCCACACAAAAGTGATGGTTTTTTACTGTACCAATATTTAGTAATAAATGGAAGATAAAAAGGCTTCCTAACAAGGTGCAACTAGATATAGTCCAATGATGACAAGGTAATCCTATTTAATACAAACACGAGATGGATCTAAAGCAACGAGCACTGAGCTCTACATCATATGGTTCATTGATACAATGTACGAACAAGCTAACTCTTGGATCAGATGAATCAAGCGAAGGTGTTTGCCTGATGAAATTCACCCAAAATTGGGATTAGCCATAAGCTGAATTCCTTGATTATTGCGAGTTTCCATTTGTCCTGTTCCTTCTGTGTTGAAGGTGGCGCGCAGGTGGGCTGGGGAGAGCTTCCTGGGCCAGTCGCTTTACTCCCAAGTTGCCGTTGCTAAATAAAGAAAAGGGAAAAAACCCTTCGTTTAACACATTTTGTTGTGGAGTCGTAGTTTCCTAAGTTCTAACTGAATTAAAAAATTTGTTTTTGCATTAAAAAATGCTCTTTTGCTTGCTGGTTTAAATATATCTCAATTCTCAGGACTTATTACAAACACTTTTAAAATAGTCTGTTCCTTTGGGGAAAGTTAGTTTATCTTTGTCTGTTTGGCTAGACTCTCTCTCAAGAAGCATTGTGTTGAAAGACGCTCCTTTGTTTTTTGTCTTTAGAATGTCCCCGTTCTCGAAATGTAAATCAAAACAATTAAAGATTGTGTTCCTTTAGAGTAAAGTTAGTTTTTCTTTTGTCTTGAGGCTAAATGTTTCCCTCGAATATTTATAGGAAATATTGAGACTCTTGAGAAAGCGAAACTATCCACTTTCTTCCAAAGCATACAGATATATTAATATATATTCCTTTAATAAAATATTCAAGGGAGTGTTTTTTATCTCGGGGCCCCGATACCTCGCTACTTGCCGTCATTTTGAGGCTGACGCCCTCCCTACACCTACGTCAATGTTCTGTCATTGAATTTTATCCCAAATTTTACCGTAATTTCGTTATTTCGAGATATGGCCGTTTTCCGTGTAGTTCGAGCTCGTCTATCAATGTAATATTCATTCGGCTATCTCTTGATCTCAACTGCACTGATCGTGTGTCACTGTCAAATCAAATACCAATGTCACTGTCTATCGCAGACTCTCGTTAATTCAAACGTGCAATCACAGTGTGACGTAACGTTGAACGAAAAAAATGGAAGTTCAGATTTTTTTCTTTACGCAACTATAAGAAACATGTTCTTTCATATCGTTTTTAATTATTTTTCCCCACTCACCAGTTCATTCATTTGTGAGATGAGGAGGTTGACTCCGTTCTCTACATCTTGCAGTCTTCCCTTAAAAGGACTGTTTTGGATCTGGGCTTCTTGATTTTTCATAATGGAAAGAAAAGTTTTGAAGATATGCAACTGTTTTACATCTGTTTCCAAGAGAGCTGTTTCCTGTAATTGAAAGATGATGAAGATATTGAGCGTTTTGAATCACTCACTTGACTAACTCTAAGACGCGTTTTCCTTCAGAGTTCCGGCGATTCCGAGAAATCTTTTGTGTCTGGCCCCTCTGTTTGTTTCAATTTCAAACTTGAGTAAAGAAATTTGCATTTTTTACATACGCAGAGGCTTTGGTAGATTGAAATGCAAAAGTTGCTGGTGACGAGTAGGACAGGTGTAATTTTTAGCATGTAAGAGACCCAGGACTGCTAAGATGTGTGAAAGACCAAAACATTTTAGGCTACATGAATGGGAAAACGCAAAGCTCACCGTTTAAAATCTAACTTATTTTGAATTCGTACTCTCTTAGCATTCCTAGAACCGTGACATCTCAAGGTAAACAAACATGATATTTGGTAACTTGGCCAATATCTTAACACTAGCAACTTCTTAAACTTTCAAGGTAAGTGAGGTTTCACTTTGTGATCTGTTACTTTTACCATGATACCGCAAACGGATATGATTTGTATTTAAGGATCAATTAATGATTTAATCGATGACTCACGGAAACACCATCCTGATCAAATGAAGGTCGTGGTAAGCATGGAATTCTGAGGTAATACTCATCGTTGTCTTTGCTACCCGTACGGACCGACGCCTGTGCAAGGTAAATTAGATACGAGGAATGAGTACTACGATTTACTATCAAGTAGATGACATGAAATGAGAGGGTTTAAAAGTGAAATCCACGACAAGCGCAAGTCACTGAACTTTCCTCTATCTGCTGTCAGCCGTTTGTTCGTCAAAAGTGAAGCTATGAACTTATTCTGTGATCCGTATATTTTCCATTTTTGTTATTCCTGTTTCTCTCTTCCTTTTTTCACTTCAGGTTTATAGTGTGTGAGCAAAATCGAAGTTTAAAATCGTCGTTTGCTTGTTGCTCCTTACGTCATGCGCGATCTAGCCACTATACCCTGCATTTGACACACGAGAAATTCTTGGAGAGAAGTTTCGGGCGAAATCAGTCAAAAGATATTTTTATCCTGTAACAGAATATCCACCTCTGAAATTGATGGTCAAAGAGTTGAAAAAGGCTCATTCAATTATAACTTAGCCCGTCTGGTTGTTAAGCGCTGCGCTCTTCGGTGTCGAAGGAGCTTTCACACCGCAGTTACTTCCTTTTATGAAATATTACTTCAGCTCCATCAAGGGCAGAATTACTTCATTAGCAAATATACACGGTCTCATCAATTAGCCACGTTTGCAGTTATGATATGATCCGAAGTTGCTTCTTGACTTGATCCGGTCTGCCTCAACTGATAGCTAAGTCCGCGCAAAAAGTTATACTTTGGGTACATTTTGGCTAGCTTTTTCCTAGTTCCTTTTTCTCTTTTTTTTAGATGATAACCGACCTTTATCGAATTTATGTCTCCCGGATCTTCCTTTTTCTCTTTTTTTTAGATGATAACCGACCTTTATCGAATTTATGTCTCCCGGATCATCATATGTTGCTATATATTCCGAATCAAGATCGATAAAAGTAATTAAAATTCAAACAACAAAAAATTAACCGCTCACACGGTCACTTACAAATTCTTCCTGCAATGTCACCGTCATATTCTGGAGACTTCGGGACTGGCCAAATATCCAACCTTTCATCCAATCAATACGTGCTTGTCTCCCGCTTGCTGGGGCCGCCATTGAATTACCAATGAACATGGCGCCCAAAAGACCCAAGAAAAGTCCAGAGAAACCTTCCGGAATAAAGAAAGATCGAAAGTCATGACAAAGGAATACGAACAAAAATATATATATTTTTCCAAAGATAACGACATTTCAGCTGCCTTTTGAGGTGTAAGCTAAAATTTGTGAACTAAAAAAGTAATTGCTCAAATATTGCTGTGAAACTTTTTAGTTTCAGAAACTTATGTTTTCATTTCATTTTTTTGTTCTCACCCAAACAAATACAAAATGAATTTAAATGAAATTTTAATAGCCTTTAATTTTTGTGTTTGTAAAAAGTGCCTTAGTAGCAGTAATAGCGGTGAAAAAGCTCTTTTAAAGTGTTTAAAAACCAGATCATTCTAAACCTAAAACTCACTCATTTATCTACTTACCTAACTTTGACGACTTCATGTTAAAACTAGAAATTCTTGTTCTTCCAACTGATGCTGTAATGAATGTGTTCACCTGAACGACTGTGAAAAACTCCCTGACCACGCTACTTAAATAGTGCCGTGATTATGCCAAGGGGAAACGAATAACAATGATTTTACCATAATCCCTGTAACAGGCAAAAAATAAATCTGCGAATATGCGGGACTCGTCTAAATATATATATCATTTGAATTTTCACTTCACTTCCTTTTTTTATTACGAATTAACTGATCCTTTCTTCCTTATTTTCTAGGTTTTCAACGATCAAAATAACAATCATGAAACAGAATTTAATTTCATATTGCCCCTTATTTTGCCATTCTTATTAATAGGATGTTTTCGAAACCAACATCTATTGGAATTATGCTTCAAGATTGTTGATGTCGACTCGACAACGATAATTTATGCATTTTCCCTATTCAAATTAAACGCTTCCTACCATTATTTTTTCTGATTGATGATAATCTAAATTTTTCTCAAATATTCCATCAAGGTTCCGTGTGATAATGATTTTGTTTTATGAGTGAACGTTAAAAAACCCGGTAACTTCCCATCCAATAAGTAAAGTCAGCAAGAAATATGATACGAACATCGCTATGTAATTTGACACTCCCTACTAATAAGAAAACGAAAGTGGAATTTGATATTAGGCCATAGGTTTTATTAACTTTAGTTTAAGCAATTTTTTGGATTTGAAACAAGCCATGGCCTAGCCTTTCATGAATCAATTCGCGCTTGTAGAAGGCTCTAATTAATTTTTTGCAATTCACTATAGATGTCATATACTCAATTTAGATTCTACGAAATGTAGTGGCAAAGTGACAACAAAGATTACTTCCGTTTCATCCGCGATGTAACAGAGGCAAAAGAGTTATCGAGATAGCTTATACGCCAATTTCAAGAAATTCTGACACACTTTTTTAAACGTTTATTGTTCGTTATATTGCGGTTAATGAGGATTTTACTTCGCATCCGCGTTTTCACGATATGGTCAGTTTTCAGCGAAAAGTTTTTGCATTGAGAACATTAACTATGAAACCGTCGTGACACTACAGATTTACAAGGAAATTCCGTCTTAGCTATGGACGTCATTCCATAGAAATAATTCCACCCCTAGTTTTAAAGAAATCTTATTTCATTCACATTACATTTCGAGCGATATTCAAAATTCCTGATTCCACTTGCTGGCCAGAGTGCGTTTAAAACATGATCACGCGTGCGATTTTCATTTCGTCAGTGACTTCCTTACTTCTTTCCCAACATCTCGTGAACTAGTTTTGAACGTGACGTGGCCAAAATTGCTCACTTTGTTCCTATCTACTCTACCCAGTTATTTCAAATTCTCATTTTTCTAACAGTCCGTGTGTGCTTTTTTCCGATGATACCTACATATCATGTTACCATCAGATAACTTAACTAGTGTCGACGACACTACGTCCGCTTTTTAAATGAGTTCGAGCGTTTCCCGGCTTTGTTGAAATTTGTTAAGGATAAGTGCTCTGTGTTATCTCGCTTGTTGTGAGAATCTGATAAAACAAACGGAAAACGGAAGGCATTTAACGATTTTCGCTGTTGATTTTGTTAGCCCAGCCGATACGAACAAGACAAAACCTACTAATTCAGAACGAAACTTTTACTCTCCAAGTATTGTGGCTTTCCTAGATCAGTCGAGTTTTTTTTAAGGACAAATAAGTTCTAAGAAATAATCTATAGTCACTTTTTATCAATAGAGGCATTTCAAACGCTATGGTGTCCTTCCGCGAATTTGTCAAACATTGTTAAGCTCCACACTTTTCACAAAAAGTTAGAAATCCAATGAGTAACGAAAGCAATTGTTTTGACGTATCAACAATTGCATGAATTTCAAAGGATTAAAATTTTCCCAATGATTTGTCCGTGGAAAAACATCTAAGATCGATTTAATTTCTAGGGGATTATTTTTACTCACAACTTAGTCATGGAAAACATTGCGATATATTTCCTCTCCGTGACGTAAGAGATTGCTCAACTTCAAGTGTAAAATGTAATTTTCTTTCTTTAATTCTACATGCTCAATATATGGATTGATTTGCATCAGCACAGACTTAGTTGGAGCAAAACTGGATTGATTTCCACGAAACGAAATCCTCCAGCGGCGGGATGAATTGTTCCGCTAGTCCCAAAATGAATGTTTCAGAAGTGTTCTTTTCCTTTATTTTTTCTCGATGAAAATGGCCATTACTCTGCGTCATTATATATTCGCTTACGTGAGCTGATTATCAGCTCACTACTATTGTAATCAAAGGTATGACCCAGCAATGTTTCTATCTTTAGTATTAAGACATTCCCTTCTCGACTCAAGACAGCAGCTGTTAACGTTTGTCCCATCGATGACCACTACATTTGACAAAGTTTTTCTTTTTCCTCTTAAGTTTTTAATTTAGCTAAAGATTTCGAGATAAATTTGATAAGAACCTTTTCATTTCATTTTAAAAAAAGGCGTAGAGGCTAATTTCATTCTCTAATAATCCTTAATAGAGACAAAGAATTGTAGAACATCATCACTATAAGTTTGCTTCATTGTTAAGTCAAAAATCGTCTTTCATTAGGAAGAAATTGTCAAACAATTTCTTCATAATATAGAAAATAAAGCTAATAGTTTATAACAAACATGAAGACAACAAGAATAATTACGATGTATTTGTAGAGGATTCAAAGACGATTTCATAAAAGCAACTAAGCAGAATTTCTAGAGCGTTAAAACAGTGACGTAATTTCCTTTCAGAGATGGGACGGGAAGAATGAGGAGACAGACGTAAATTGTTTCGCTGATTCAGTGCACGGTCGATGATGTCGCAATCAAGTGCGGATGTTTTCACGTAGCTTGCTCTCTCGGAAAAGGAAGTTTACCGCAAAAAATAGGATTTACTTCGTTTCCGTTTGGGTCTTTCTACCCTCCGAGAGTAAGAGTCATTTTTACATACAGATGTGTACGATCAAGTAAATACGTGATGGAGGAGAGCTTGTTTGCTTTAATTTAAATAAAGTAGTGGTCAAAACATAGAATAAATAAACCCTGAGGATACGCTTTTCAACCTTTTTGAAACTGAGAAATATAAAATTTCCAGAACTAATTGAACTGAACTAAATGAACTGATGTCTCAATTCCCATTTAGTGAAGGCTAGGTTTACTATTAATAAACAAGGAACAGAAATCTTTCCGGTTTTTTCCTTAGCAAATATTAAAACCAAACTCCCCCTGAGAAATAATTGACAACAAAAGAATTGTGTGATATTAATGAATATTGCTTCTTGTTTGAACGCTTCGCTCTTTCTAATTCATCGCCTAAATCTGAGGAGATGATTTAACCTTTGATTAAACAAAAAGTCATATAAAAAAGGCCCATCGGATTAAAAGCATAACTTCACTACTGCGATCGATATCTCTGAAATTTTCTACCATATTTGAATACTTGACGAACGGAGAAATCCAGACTTACTTTATTGAAGTATGCCAGGTATGCAACATAAAACTATTACAGCCACCCAAGTAGTGAGAAATTTTAAGGGTTCTCACAGTGACTTGCCTTCGATCTTTATTTAACGCGTGATCCTGTGAAAATAACCTTAATTACCATCACACTTTTATTATAAGAGACGGACCACTCACTACGTGTTTCTACAGTTATGCGTTGGGTATTTGTCCTTACGTTTAACTATGAGGCAGATGATGGGACGATTTAAGTACGAAATTGGTTTTACTTGTGACGACCTTTATTTGTCAACTCTTTATGGCTTGACATTTACCGTACTTTAGAAAGGGTTTTTGCTGACTGGTGGACTTACTGATTGATTAAATAAATAAGTTGAGTAATCGATTGAATGACTGACTGTCTGATGGACTTACTTACTGACTGGCTGACTGACTGACTGACCGACTGACCGACTGAAAGACAGATAAACTGACTGGCTGACTGTTTTATTAACTGACCGACTAATTGATTCATCGCCTGATTAACTTATTGACTGACTGACTGACTGACTGAACGATTCACTGACTGTTTGACTGATTGATTTGCTGATGAACTTAATAACTGACTGACTGACTAACTTGCCGACTAACTGGCTTACTTACTGTCTGACTTACTGTCTGACTTACTTTCTGACTGACTGACTAACTGGCTGACTAAGTGACTGAAAGACAAACCGAATGACTGACTGACTGACTAAATGGCTGACTTAATGACCGACTGAATGACTGACAGATTGACCGGCTAATTGAGTAACCAAAAACCTGGCTGATCGACTGATTCAATGACAAGTGGAGGGTTCAACTAATAAATTGACTGATTAATTAATTGCAGGTCAACTTGGTTACAAACTATCAGTTCTCTTGGTTTTAACCACGATATTCATGTTATCGAGCGTTAAATCTTCCACTCCACGAGCCAGGAGGTCCCTGTCCGGCCCTGCAGCGGTAGGGGCAGTGCAAATTGGAATCCCTGCGTCCCATAAAGTCTTAGACGACTGGTGCACGAACGTCACAAAACACCTCAACACAACTCAGGAAAAGTTTGTACGTTATGAAGACTGTGTGAGATTTAATGCAAATCTCAAAAATTTTATAACATGCAATTGTCGCAATTTGTGGCAGCTTATCACAAAGGACGTAAAAGTGATTAACAGCCAAGCATCAAACTCTGTTTTAATTTTAAGTATATGATTAAATCTATTTTGTTTCGTTTTCAAATTTTATTGCAGAGGAAGGAATATTTTCTTATGACTATTTCTTTTTTTTTTTTTTTGTTTAAACACACAGATTGACACAAATTCATCTTTAATTCTAGATGGCCTTTTCTTCGTAAATTAATTTCCTTTTTTTCTGTCTCATTTTCCTCAGGGCAGTATCAATTTCAACAGCTCAATGGCACACTCCATCATCTCTTCTATGGGAGTTACGGTAGTTACAGAATCATTTTCCTTGTATCTCTTCTCTTTCAGGGAAGCTTGAGGGATTCTCTATTTAGCTAACAACTGTGCTTCCAAATTTCCCAAATATCCCCTCCAAATAGTACCTCAGCCCTATATTGTGCCTCTCATAAGAGTCTCGATCATCCTAGGGCGCGGCTTTTTACCATTTCTTGGTGCAGTCAAGTTGGGTGAAATGCCAAGATTAAGTAGGTGAAACGCCTCGAAAGAAAAATCATAAACGTGTGCTGTTTATGTAATGGGAAAGTTGGCTCTCAAATCTTCTTTTATTCTCCTTATTCGCCCAACAGACTATTAAAATAGGCAATGTTTTTTATCGGTTCCTTACAATTCCTTCAACATGAAAAGGGGAAACAGCTTGACTAGTAGTGATACAGTTCTCCCAATGATGTTTTGTCAATGTCACAAAGTTACTTGGGAAATGTTTAGGCAAGTTCTAATCGCTCATCCACAACATAATGTTCTCTTCCTTCTTAACAGGTACTTCAGAGACTTTCATTCGACTTGGAACACTTAGAAATATACTATCTTCTTTTTGGTCAAATTCCAAGCTCAAATTCAGATCAGAAATTTAATTTGTGTGTAAACGACGGTATCAACCTCATGGGGGGGCTTGTCATCAGCATGCAATTGACGGTAAGTAGAGCTGTTTTATTTCGTTTTTTTCAATTAATAATTCCATCAAAAGAGGATTCTAATGTACAAAATGCAGCTCGTTCCAAATATTTCTTCGTAATTGTCGAAGATCTTGAACCAATTAGGAGAGCGCTAGCCCGACACTTTGTCGATCACCTTTGTTGTGAATTCTCCAATTGTCAACCGTTTTAATACGTGCCGCTTATAACTGCAGCTAAACGTTGTTTTTCTGTTACTCTGATAGGAGCTCTACCTCAATGGTACGTCACCATTCCCCCCTCAGTTCGTTAGTAAGGGAACGATTGGTAGCCAGACTCGTTACCAGGACCTCAGTCACGAAATAGCGCAGCTCAAAAGTTACATGAGAGGGCTGGCCATGATACTGGCAGACAAAGACTTTATCTCAGCACAAGTTTGAAGCCAATAGGAAGTTGTCTTAAATGACACCATGGACTGATAGCGGTCAAGTTCAATCCTAGTGATCTATTTAAAACAAATTATTTATTCTTGTTGAAATATAATTATTACTTTTTCAAAGTCTACTTCGAAAACTGTACTTATTTAATGCAAAAGTTTAATTTTTTTGACGCATGCAACTCACTGCGGTGTAAGTTATTAATTGTGACAAATTATTTATTGAGCCGAGTTTTCAACCTCGACTTATGAATGCATAATAAAGGAAATAAAAAATCACTACAGTTTACTGACCACCTTGCTCATCGGTCCATTTTCTGTTGTTAAGATGTGTTTCGATTCGTTGAAGTTCCAGGTTGTTTAGAGTTTAGCCTTGACATGGAGTTTCCTTACTTTGATTGTTCTGTTCGCGTATCGAGGTTTTTAATTATCAATAATGTTTCTTTACGTTCATTTGATTTGAAATCCCTATGCAGTCCTTGCGACTCAAGGCCCTGCAAGCCCGCGGACAAAGTTTTGAGTTGTCCTTAGCCACAATAAGGCTTAATTCTTAAACACACACTTCTCATGGTGGCCATGTTTAGATTTGCCTACTGTCCATGCTTTGGACCTTCAATAAAGTTCCTGTACCTTTTGACCCTCTATCATTTGAAGATTGAACGTTTACTCAGAAGCATTAAGTATCTTGTTATTCATTTTTTTGATTGTCATGACGTATTTTAGGACAGTTTTCTAAAATGAGAGGTTCTGTTCCTCTAACAAGTATTCAAATGCGTGTACTCAGGGTAGTCAGCCAGGAAGTATCACTAGAAGTTAGCCGTAGTAGAACTTGATTGATTAGAAGACACAGGGGAGAAACGTAGAGTTGAGAAGACTGTAGAGACAACTGGAGCCTTTCTTCTTTGGTGCTTTTCAACCCTTTTTTCACATACTTTTTTGGAAAACATAGTCAATGGATAAGTGTCCCCCCCTCCCGCCTTCTTTTAACTCAACCACACTCCACCAAGGGACTTGACTTACTGCCTGAGCTGTTGCAGGGCAATAAGCCTAGCAACCTCCACAGGAAAACACCTGTCTGGTTGCTGAGATTGGGACCCCTGTTATCATGCGAAACCTGACATCAAGAATATTTTCACCAACTTTGGACCTAACTGGGTAGAGTCCGTAGTTGATACAGACAGAGATTAACGAAAACATTTCTCTAGAAGGTCAAAAACAAGTAAAAGAAATAATTTTTATAATTAATTATTCTCAACTAGGAAACAATTTAAAATTCTAGAAGCCGTGATTGTTAATCGACTGCAGGTAAAAAGTTTTTTCGTTAAGATTACATTCTTTCTTAATTCGTGAAAAGGTTAACTGATATCTGCCAGATATAAACTGACTGACGAGGACTTAATGGTAATTTTTAGGTCATTTTGCATATCGCAAGAACTCAGAATAGCATTAACGTTACGTAGCTCTTTTGAAGAGAATTTGGAAGTTTCAGCGAGTCTCTAAAACAAAGACAGAATGATGAAGTGAAACCCCCCCCCCCCACCCCACCTTTGTTGTGAAGGCAGTTATGCATGTGCGTGATGTTTGGAGGTATTGTACTAGACAGAAATACGAGTATGGATCAATACGCCTGACTGCTTATAGAAGATCGTACTAAAGTTTAAAGAGGTCAGGTATTCAATACTCCATTCTAGGCCCACATCTTGTGCTAGGTGGTTGCTTGGTCGGTCAAGAATTTGACGTAGTTAGGTGTTAGTATGTCTGAGGCTTTCAAACATTGGCTCACGCTGTAGCGACACTCCAACTTTTGTGATGAATCTACAATGCAACAAAATAAAAAGACTTCTTTGCAAAATAATCTATCTTTACATGTAGATGGCAAGTATGCAACTGTCGAAAAAAGTTAAGTACTCTTTACGTTAGTAGTTTTGAGTAGTGCGTGCATTGGTATCTTTCGCTTTCGTAGACTTCCATTAATTCCCATCTTTCATTCTCGTAGGATCCGTTTTCTTACCAGAAAAATACGAATAAAGAGGTAAGTTTCTGGAGAAACTGTAGTGCTACGTAGGTGGGGGAGTATAACAAGATAATTTGTTTTATGATCTGATTAGATAATGTGAATTGGCCACCATAAATATAAATAGTTTCTAAGTTGACATTTCCAACGTCAGCCCTTCGTCATGAAGGGCTAATGAACAGCGAATAATGTCTAACGCTCGAAACGCCAGCTTAGAGACTCTCTACGATGACCAATTTGCATTATTAACTCAGTTGATAAAACCAAATTATCTAGAAAAATATGAGTCTTCAATGATCAAATTTAAAAAAAAAAACGAAATTCGACAGCAGCTTCGTCTTGCAGTATACTTCTGGTAGACTGCAAAGAGCGAAAAGGTACACCAACAAGGAAAGATAGCGCTTTGAACTTATTCCCAAATGACGTGTAGTAAACGATTCAAAAGGCAACAAACGATACCCACATTAAAAACTATCTAAAAAACTATTTGAAAAACAAAAAGTTAGGAACCTTCGGAAAAATGATTTAACACGGCACATAGAATGACTAAGGGAGAGGGGCATTACCGTTATAATATACGCAACGTAGAAAATGAAAATATTCCACAGCTTACCATTAACGATCCACTCATCTTGAGCAATATACGAAACCGCTGGTATACAGTACTGAGCTACACCGTGTTCAGAAGGACTGGCACAGTTCAGCATCCAAACCGGTACAACCACTCGAGTGTAATGCTACAAATAATGATGATGATGATTATAACAACAACAACAACAATAATAATAATAATAATAGTGATAATAATAATAATAATAATAATACATGAATAAAGGAAACTGAAAGGGTAACTACGAACTAGGGCACCAAGGCTATGTACCGTTGGATTAAAAAAAAGCCCTTGTATTGGTTTATGTGGGTGAAAAACTCTATATTTCACGTTCATGTACAATAAATTGACATAAAAATTATTAAAGCAGGAGTCTTACGATTTATCAGAGTCACACTTGATCAGTAAAAATTAAATACTTAACAGGAATTTCTCTGGCTCTTTGACTGACCTTAGGATAACCCATGCAGTTATCCAGCATCTTCAGTTCTGTGTCTGTTATCGCGTACACACATCCCTCAACCGAGTGTCCTGGAGAGAATTCCATATTAGGGAATCCGCCAGCCTCGTCAGATGTACCTACAAATAACAATTAAAATGATGGGTTTGAGTCTTCCTCAGCGATTTAATCCTTTGTTTTTACGGTCTCAAAGCTTACCCTTCTTGTTAAATCGAATCTGGAATCCAAACAAAATACCCCACAATCGCGTCTTAGGCTCTCGACGTAAGTAAATGGCCATCCTATGAAAGAAAAAAAAACCAAGCAAGTACACTGCCTTTCTGTAGAAAACGGTCTTTCGTACTTAAGGAAGTGGTATTTACTTTTCCAAAAAGCACTATAATACTCATTAAATATTTCTATGACTCCATGCAGCTCTCGTTGAGAGTTTCTTACGGGTAAATTCAGCAAAAGGGAGCATTAAACAAAAGATGTGATAAGGAAAGGGGTGGGAAGGGTTGGGGGGGGGAGGGGGTGAGGTGAAGCAATGCCAGCCGTAACTGTACCCAAAGTCTTGACCTAAAAAATCAATAAGAAAAGCACCACGTTCACGAAGGGGTCAGAACATCGGCACATCACTATTCGATTCTATTTTTTATTTTTACAGTCACTTGCGCAGGAATGAACAAATCCCAATTGCATTTGAAAGCAGTGTAACGTATGAGTTTTCAATAAGTACTCTGGATCTACTACCAATAAGCTATCATAAATTTATGGTAGCTAAGCCATTAAGGAAAAAATTAGGATTCCACTGATATGGTTGTTTTTTAGTCCCAGTGAATTGCACAAACTTCTCTGCTCACCTGTTGGGATTCATTTCTAGTCCATAGGCGAAGTAATACAACTGCCCCTCTGGGGCTTTAGTGTTAATACTGAAGCAAAGGGGTGGAATCGGTACAATGGGCTTCTTCTTCGCATCATATCTGACACAAAATGTTTGAAAAAGAAAAGTTTCGGTCACTATTTTAAAAGCAAAGCAATATGAAGAAAGTGGTACATGGAGTATGCGATATACTTGATGACTAACATAAGATACAGTGTAGTGTAGTTCTCACTCCTAAGAGTGTCCAGCATCTAAATTCTCCCCATAAAAAAGTACTACGTAGACATGTGAGGAGAATTGTGAAAAGTACCCTTAGAATGAGACGCTTAATTTGCAGGAGTAGCTGTAATTTGCTTTTGTTTCACGACACTTTTATTCGAACAGCCTTCTTTTACGAGAGCTTCTATTTTGTATTTCAGTGGGCACAAAATGCTTTGGAAAATATACGAACCTTGACTCGGACAAAGTCATCGTTTTAGCAACCACTTCCAAATCTGTGGAATCATTGCCAAAGTCTTCAACAAAACCAGCATCCACGCCATCATCATCGTCATCAATGATACTATCAGTGCACTCATCAACTTCGTCATACGGTTGTCCATCAGTCACAGGATATAAGTTCTCATTACTTGAACTCCATCCCAATTCAGTGCTATAATTACTTTTATCGATAGTATCACCATAAACAGATGAACCTGTCACACACGACATCGTTTCCACGCCAGAACTGCTATCTTCCAAAGTGTTAACACCTCTATATTCACTTTTATCGTCCATAGTCACAAACACACTTGTTTGGGAACTTCGAGGAGACTTTTCAGCGTTCGAGCCTTTATCCGGCTTCTCGCAAAAAGATAGAGTCTTTTCTATAGAAGACTTGCCACTTGACATTTCTACATGTTCTTTTCCCAGTTTAATAGCTGATGCAATATCGCTTACATTATCACTATCGCTTCCTTTACTCGTCATTTCTTTCGCTGCCACAGCCACGATGCTGGACGATGAACATTCCTTCTTCAAGGCACAAACACTAGTCCTATCTCGATTCTGCTCGTCCAATATTTTTCTGTACTGCTCAGTGAAATAACCCGGTAACTTCTCCCTTGCATGCTTTGTGAAGTCATTAGCTCTTCCAGTTTTCATGGAAGTAACAGTGTTCGAATTTTCTACCTCACGTAAAGTTTTATCTTTCTTTTTTCTATTTCCCATTCGTTTACCTGAGGGTGGTCTTGGCTCTTTGCTGCCTTTTACCAAAGGCGTTTTATCACTGAGAGCAGCAGCCGTCTGTCTCGTATAACCAGCAGACCGCACCCTTTTTGCCTTTGGTCTCTCCTCTCTAGGAGTCCGAGGCTTCATTGCAGAAGTGCTTAGATTCAGAGAGTCAAGTACTTTAAAAATATCCGCCGAAGGTATCCTGTTCGAATCTAAAGCATCGCTATCGCTATCCAGGTATTCATCACCAGTAATATCGTTGTTAGACCGGTCAAGCGTTCCCACGCGTGTACGTCCATTTCTGGAGACTACCCTTATATGAACATCAATGATTTTATTAGAATTTAGACTCCTAAAAGACTCCTCAGCTCCTGGTTGAAATTCTGGAGGTTGAAATTCTGGAGGAAACCTATCTGTGTTCTTCTGGCGCGACTTGATCATTGAAGAGTCAGCAGAGAATTCATTCTGAAGCTCACAATATGAAGTTCCCTTGGTTTCCCTGTCACCATAGGTTTTTAACTGTCCTTGCTTCCCTTGAGAAGTAATAGTTTTCTCATCGCTTGCCTTTCGGAAACAGTCAGAGTTATTACTTCGCTCTCGATCAACTTCATAGGTGGAATCAGCAGGAAGAAGATTCTGTCGTGCCCATCGACCTTCGCCTTCATCGCTGTCGTCGTCTGAGTGTTCTTTTTTTGTGTCATCAAAATAAGGTTTACAACCACAAGCAAGAGTTCCGTTCTTATTTATAGGGGAAAGCAGCTTTTCCTCAGTTTCATTCTCGTCCTGGTTAAATCCCGTCACTTGTTCAGCTTGATTTTCCACATCAATGCTGTCATCACTGAGTCCATCTTCAGAAAAACTACTATCACTGTGGCGGTTACTCTCGTTGACAGACGATGCACAGGAAGTGTTATGAATGGAACTTTCTGGGCGCCATAACTGACTAGGACTTCTAAGCCGTGCAGCGGCAGGTAAGGCTGTGTCCGAAGTTGAGAACACTCTAGAGGACTTGACACGCTCTAGTGAAGGGCTGGTCTGCCTTCTTGCAAAACTATGATACCGTCGTGCACCTGAAGACGAAATAAGATAGAACAGATTATATTTCGCCCGCATAGGAGGCCCACGATTAAACCTAGCGCGAGAGACTTAGAGCGAAACGAGCTAGCGAGGGTTCACACAAATTTGTTCTTTTACGCTCGTCTTGCTCATGTTCTCACCACTCGGACTAAAACAAAAATTGTACACTCAATTTTTTCTACTTGCTGTCTCCGTTTGAGTGCACATATGCTCATGCACTTGCGATGGCGCTGAAGAGCGGGTACTAGCGAGTGCATTTGGGCAGAATCGTAATTGCACAGTATATAGAGACAAACCCTGACATTTATGTAGTATGTAAGATCTACTTAATTCCATCTACACTGTGTTAGTAAGCTTAGGGTCACTTAAACAAAGCACAGACTTACCAGCCACAATTCCTTGACAATTGTTCACGAGAGGACCAGAGGCTGTCATAGGCCGCCCAAGCGCCTTAAGGTGACCTCTTTGTAACTGTGCAGGAGGAAGAATCATATTTCTGGTGCGTTTTGTCCTTTCCAGCTGTTTCCTAATCTTTTCAACTCCAGCAGTGGTCCGCTGCTTCAATTCAAGACTAGGATCAATGACCTGCACACAATAGAAGAACATGAGTTTTGATGTGCCCCAATACCACATAAACAACCCACAAGGTGCTTATTAACTCCATTCCAGGGATATCACACTAAGAGCTTCTTAGGGAGAGGGAAGGGGGTGAGTATTAAGTTTTTTATTCTGAAATGTCAACTAGATTTAACGAACACTATGTAAAGCATGCATCTCTTAGGTTGCAAAACCAACAATAGTTAAAATGGAAGCTGTTAGAGGCTTTCAAACATAGTGGTATTTTGAATTTAAAGTTACTGAGCCCTAATGTATGTTAATGCTGATAATGAGATAAGAACATAGCCATTTAGATCTAGCTTTACTAGAGACTTACGTCACCAGTTACATTTAAAATCAACCTCTGACCAAAACCTTACCAAAACTGGTCCTTTCACATCTTTCTCTGGCCCTTGTTTAAAAGGAGAAGTGATGTAAAAATTTCCTTTTGGGATCTGCACTCTGCTGTGTCTGATTCTGTTTCGAGAGGTGGATAAACTTTTCGGTAACCTGGATTGATCTCTTTCACTTTCAGCAACTAATGAGGAATTTTCTATTAAATTATACAGAGTGGTATTAACTTTCAGAACCACCAAATATAACTTAAACAACTGCCATAACATGTGAGAAGCATGTTCATTTATGCAAGGAATTTTCTTTTTTGAGGAGGTAACATTTCTTGCATGAGGCAATTAAAGAATGGAAATACATGTACAGGTAGTTTACAAAAATGTTCTCTAACAAAGTGCTACTGGAACAACCAGTTCGAAGTGTCAGTCTATATAATCCCTGACAAGAATTGTAGAACTTTGTACATGAAGACGTTAAGAGTTCAATTCAAGAATTAAGGGTAAATTAACAGTTAACTTAATCACAATAACCCAAATTAAGACTGACAGATGAAAGTGAATTTGAAAATGCTCATGAATTTACATGGATTCATTATTAACGAGCCCTAAATAAACAACTTTCAACAAAACATTGTAAAAGATGTACTCTTACCAAGGCTAAGTTCTGAAAATCTAGTGTCTATGCTCAAGTGCTTTCCTGGTTGCTGAAAAGTTTAAAACATTTAGAAACACCAATAGTTACACTTTCAAATAAAGAAAATCCAAAGAGATTTCTTACCATCATGATGAACAGGTCATATACCACAGAAGGTTAGTTATTAGGAATAATGGCACCTACTGCATAATGTCCCCACACAGTAGACTGCATGTACATGTACTAAATATGCATTTTTCCAATTTTCAAAATCATCTATCCTTTTTGTAATCTTCAAGTAAGGTGAAATATAAAATAAAGTTTACATCAAAATATGTACAGGAGTAGGGCCTTGGGATTTCTGTTTTGCAGTTGTGGCAATTTTTTTAGATCTGTTTTTTCATTTTTGTGCCAAAAAACTTAGGTTTTGCAGTTTTGGTTCACATTGCAGTTCACAGATTTTCTGTTTCAAATAAGCGTTTGGTTTTCAGTTTTCCTCATAAATACCAATGGGTTTTCAGATTTGGTTTCCAATGTGGTTTCCAGTTTTTCTTGTTTGGGTTCCAGTTCCTTTTCAATCTGAGCAGCAATTTTTCACCTCTACAGACTTTGCATAGCCTCAAAATCTCTTTTTGTTCCACTTGTTCACCTCTGTAATAGATCAATTAGGGTTTTCACACTGTGATGTGAAAATTTATCGCTTTTGACAATATTACATGCAGTTTTTGGTTTTGATTGAATTTTTTCTTGTGGTTTTGTTGGTGGATTTTTCTACAGTTTAGTGGTATCTAATAGAAACCAATTCCCCCCTTGTTCAGTTGACAGAATCAATGTATAGCTGTAAATGGAACTTATCCAAAGCTTTAAGCTTGAGGACTTAATGTGAACTTAGAGAAAGATGTTTATTCTTCTTGTCTCTACCCTGGGACAAAGATAAAATTCTGAGTCCCCACAAGGAATTGAGCCTCAGACCTTTGAATCAGCACTCTGGTGCTCTGCCACTTAGAGGCATTCAGAATTTTTTTTGGAATGGGAAAGATGATATGTTCTGAGCTTGGTAAAGAAGTAAAAAAAGATGTTTTCTTGTCTTGTCATGAGCATGGGACAAAGAAAAAATTCTGAGTCCCCATGAGGAATCTTACCAATTCCTTATTCTATTTAGAATCAGTAATTTAAGTTTTGAATTTCAGTATTATGAGACCTTTCCCAACTTATAAAATAATGTTATATTCTCTCAATAGTTTGGCCTTTGATAGTAATAAACATTACTATTGAAATGTTTACAGAGGTATTGAGAGTGAAAATTAGTGTATCAATATTAAAACTTTTCTTTTTTTTTGAGTAACCTACACAAGGTTCAACTGATCAATTAGATGAAAAAAAGGTGTTGTTAAAGATTGTTAAATTCAAGGTATGGTGGGGTACAGTACCAAGGCTAGTGATAGCAGGGTCATTTTCTGAAATATTAGGTCAAGAAACTAATGGTAACTATACCATAAAAGCAAGTTTAACAAATGAAGTTTCGATTTCCTGAGCGATTTATTGTACTTTGCCATTAGTCTAACCATCGAAAGTGTTATTAGTGCTTCACTCAATTGAGCTTAAATCCTCCAATAAACTTCTAGGAAATCAGTAACTTACTGTTTACTTTGCCTACCGATGCAACATAACCGTTTCCTTTAAAGTTGTTACTACACTTATTTTCGAGAATCACAATTTGAGATTTACAGTTTGTAGGTAAAGTTAAATCATGATTTTTAGTGTCAACAAATTAGACCTATCTAAAAAATTATTTCTGCTTCTTTACTTTAAAAATTTTCGTTTGCATCTTGCAAGCGAACTGGTGCGTAGAGCAGCTTACTCGATTAAGTAGCAACGGCTTTATTTCATTTCCAATCATAAAAATAAGTTACCTGATGGTTTGTACCACTCGGAGGCCTGACATCAAACTCGATATCATAATCTTCCAGTTCTTGTCTGCATCTCTCAGTTACAGGGCAGCTTCTTGTACTTGACGCACTCGACTTTCTCAGACTCTTAGTTAAGCAAACTTCGTCATTAAGACTGATTGCATCCATGAACTAAAACTTTTCAAGACCCGTTGTTCATCAAAATATCAAGTTTACGAAGAGGGATTAGACAGTTTTCAAACCTTGGCATTACCATATCTCCATGGATTCAGACGCCATTTTGATAATTCCCGCCTTCCAAAGCATCATGGAAGTAAATGCTGCTAAGCACCATGGGAAATTCAATATGGCGGAAGACACGTTAAGACAGTCTTGCCAAAGTGGTAAAGATTCCTACCTTTTTGATTTGGCCGGAGACAATGTTAAATGGAAAACAATATCTCTCACTCACGTGGAATATCCAGAAGGTAATAACATAATTTTTTGGACCTCTGTCGTCTTTTTTTAGCACCATCAACCCGCTATTGGATTTGCTGCAAGCATGTTAAGTTTTTACCTCAGATGTGGTACGGTTATATAAGCCCACAAGGTAAAACCAGCTCATGTCATTTTTCCTTATACGTTACAGGAGATATTACGGGGAAGATCTTGGCATGGTGTAGTCTGCTTCCTATATTTATCGTGGTTGGTTTTATTACTTTAATAATTTTCCGACGTGAAGTTCACACGGTAGGTTGGTTTATTTTCAATGTATGGACTGTGATTGAAATCCGGAAGAGAGGTCGTCTTCGATAGAAGATGTAATTTTACGTCACTAGTTACAGTGTTTTACTCCTAGAATTACAGCTCATGAGTATTAACCGGTTCAATACCCATTTTTTAGCCTAGAAGGTACATGTATCTTACTCGTGTGCCTTGCAGTAATATATCCCCTATCAACAAATTCTTGTCTGTCATAGGGTAACATTTCTTGACAATGTCACTCATCTGTGTGACACACATCATTACTATATATGATTTCCTGTAAATCTTATGTGAAGACATAAAGGGAGAGGAGAGATATTTACTATTTTTTAAGTCAAGTGGAAGTCTTGTTGAAGATGTAAATCCTTGCAAATCATGATGTTTCAACTTTGGAGGTTTTGTTAGATAAGCTACACTGATCCATCTCACAGGTTAGCCAAGTAATATAAATAACTAAAATCTGAAATGAGCCAAGCATCCTGTACAAAGCTTGCATCTGTAATATCAAAGGCAGATGGTTGAGAGCTATATGTACCACTGTAATGATATAATAAGAAAACTAATATCAGGTGAGGCCTAGTGGTTGATTATTGAAAGATGTGAGTTACTTTGGACTTTAAAATATCTTGGTTTTCAACAAGGATTAAAATTCTATGCACACCAGATATTGTGAGAAGCTTCAAAGAATGTCTGGTTTTAATTTTTTTTGCATGCACCAAATGTGCGTGTTTGCAAATAGTTATGACTCATTTTAAGTAAATTATATCAGTCTATTTTCCCTGTATTATTATGTGTATGTATTTACTTACAGTCTTTCTTTGCATTGACAGAGAGGGTTCTTCTGTTGCAGATGACATTCTTTGGAGGAATTTTAATGAATGAACTTGTTAACATGGTGGTGAAACACTCTTTGGCATATCCTAGACTATGTGGGGGTCATGTGTTTGCACATTCTGGAAGTGCAATGCCATCAGATCATGCTCAGTTTATGGCTTTCTTTGCTGTGTATTCTGTCCTGTTTATATATGTAAGGTAAGCAAACACTCAGGGTCTAATGAAAATAGATAAAGGAGTAAGTTTCTAAAGAAACTGTGGTGCTGCGTCGGTGGGAGAGTATAGCAGGTAATTTAGTGTTAACAACTGAGTTGAGTTGTAAATTAGCAACCATAAAGGGTAAAAAAGCTGACATAAAGGGTAAAAAACCTGACATTTCGAGTGTTAGCCCTCGAAGCATTAGCCCTTCACAATAAACAGATAATATGCTCCAAAATGAAATGTGCAGTGGGAAACTAGACACTGCTATCCACATACGCATAAATGGTGCTAGTCCTACAAGGAAACAGCAGCTACATGTAACTGCAAGAAAACTAGTGCAGGTCTGACCTTAAGAAAACTATCCATAAGAGAGAGAGAGTTGCAAAAAATATAGAAAACACAAGTTTCTATCAGGTAAATATTAATCCCTGTCTCTAGGAATATCTTTATCAAAGCCTTGCCAGTAATACCTCATTTTATTGACAAACAAGTAAAAATTCATTTGTCTATTTTCAGGCTTCTGCATTTTTCTCAAGCAACCACAGTATGGGATGATTTAATAGACAACTTATGGCGGCATGTACTAGCAGTTGGTGTTGTATTGGCTGCTGTTGCTGTTGGATTTAGTAGGTTGGTGACAGTATGTTGGTCACTTCAAAGAGGTTGCTATTACTGTCAGAAATCTCTGACAGTAATTTTTTCTTAACAATGATGAAGAGTATTGATTTTTGATAAAACATTAAAACTACTCATACAGTGTACCCCACTTATCTCAGTGTCTTCAGCTTTAACTCTTTACACCCTAACATCAGAGTGCATATTCTCCATACTGTCCTCTATAAATTTCCAACATGTAAGGTTCTGACCAGGAGAATTTGTTTCAAAATCAAGAGCTTCTTCAGTTGGTGATCATTTCCTTCATTCTTGTGACCTTAATGTAGAATTTTGGGGAGATATTGTAGGGAGAAATTAGATGCTGGATCTTTATTAGGGGTCAAAGGGTTAAGTAATTGGGGGTCTTGCTACTCTCCTTAGATAAGATGCTTGTCACTGCAGGTTCCCCCCCTTCTCCCCTCAGGAGGGCTCTTGTGAAAAGCCAGTCACTGCTTATTTTTCTTGGCTGTTCAAAAGAACATTATCTGATATTTCACAAATACTTACCAAAACAATTAGCAAATGGATGTTTTTTTGTTCAAATATGACAATTCATTGCATTCAGTTTAAAATCTTGCTTGTCAGCTACCAACCTCATACCCTGGAAACTTGAGGACATGACACCTAAGGACACAACACAATGTCCCACCAAGGACTCAGTGGTAGAGCTTTTGCTCCAGAGCTCCACCTACACTGCCAGACTGTCTCCAGGATAAATGTAATGCTCAAGTGATAAAATGTTAATGGATACTTAAGTTTGCAGTTTTTTTTTTATTTTACAGAATATACCTCAGATATCACACCCCACAGCAAGTGGGTTATGGCCTTCTGCTAGGATGTGGACTTGGCATTGCTTGGTTTCTTTTCACACAGACAGTTCTCACACCAATCTTTCCAACTGTAACAACCTGGTAAGTGACAATTATATAATATTAAGTACATGACTTGTACATGTAGCCTTTTACATGTAATTGCAAAAGTTGATTCACAATCTCTTTGAACTTCTGATCTATAGAACAAATTCTTGTACACATTTTGTTTCCTGGTATTAAGATGGAGCTACAACACATGCAATGTTGAATACAGTTGAACTTGGTAACTTGAACTGCCAACTTTGTGTTATCACAGGTTTTGAGTTATAGGGGTTTTGAACAAAAAGACCAGAAACACTTGATTAAAGAGGTTTTATCCTTATACATGTTTTATTTTAAGATTTCTAGCAATGTAAGAGCATAACACAACAAAACAAAATGAAAGAAATCAATACAAAACCATGAAAACCACAAACACTCTAAAGTAGCTGCTCTTCAGAATGTTTGGCACTCAATCTCATTTTAACATTTGTTGAAAAATCTATTCAGACACATGCTTGATATGAAAAATAGTCTTCCAGTGCAAAATATTATGGCTCATTAGTCTGCAAAAGTGAAAACCAACTTCAAGTTATCAAGGGTAAAATAACAAAGAAAAGTTCATGAAGGAAAGTGAAAATCACTTCGAGTTACCAGGGTTTTGAGTTATTGAGGTTTTGAGTTATAGGGGTTAAAATTACAGTAAATATACTATATGAGGCAAATCTAAGGGAAATCAGTCTTGCTTCAAGTCAGCAGGGAATTCAAGTTACTGAGGGTTCAAGTTATCGGCATTCAACTGTACTAAGATTCTGGCCATGGAAAGGATGTAATGATCTTTACAGATTCGTCTACTTACATGTAAAGTAGATTTCAAATGATAAGGGGAAATTGTAGTCCAATAGTTCTATAATTGATTTGATTACCTGCATAGTACATGTATATAAGTACAATTATACATTTAGCTTAGTTTTAGTGGGCCACAATATAACCAAGAGAGACATGGTCTCAGAGTGTTTGCTGTTTGTTATACAACTCATTTTTAACAGGCCTATCAGTGAATACTTAATGATCCGTGATTCAACGCTAATCCCATCAGTCATGTGGTTTGAATATACACAGTCAAGAACAGAAATGAAGTAAGTGTAATTTATGCACATTACAACCATGGTTCAAAATCCGTAAAATTTACTAGGTGTTTGTGACTTTTGATGCAACACTAGTCAGAGGTCTCTATCTTTTGATCAGAGTATAAATAATTGTTAAATGATGAGTAGTAGCTTTATTCTATTTTGATGAGTAAAATGTATTTTTCTTTGTCTAAACAATAAGATTCTGATTGAGCTGATTGTTCCTGAGTTGAAGCAGTCACTTAGAGGGTACAGTGTACATGTGCCTCTCTGCCCTAAAACAAAATATGCATCTTATGCACCAATCAATTTGAAGCTTCAACATTCTTCCCTTCCCCTTGGACAACCCACGGGAATTTTACTGTTTTCCATGACCTAGGAGTGGGGAATTTGAACCTTGCATGGGTGGGGTGGGGGGGGGGGATTTGAACCAGTGGAATACGTGACTTTTGATTTTACAACATTTGTTGATCACACAAAGAATTGTTTATAAAAAATTGTGCTTGACTGGGGCATTTGAATGCAATTTTGGCCCATTGTGGGCAGGAATTTCAACAAACCTATCTTCAAAAGTTTAAATGCTGTGGGGGTTGCTTGTGGGAGGGATGTTACAGCTTCAAATTAATTGATGCATTACAATCTAGACTTGAAACCTGTACTATTGCAGTCTATCCTTTGTTGCTACAGTAGCCTTTGTTAAAGTGAATTTGCTGCACAACAGTAAATATGAACACTTAACACATATTTTTTCTGTTTCTTTTCTTTATTAGAAAACGACAAAGGAGAGGCTCACACAACAATTATTTTAAGTCTCATACTTCTTGAAAAGAAAGATGAGGTCTGTGCAAGGTTGTGCTTGGCAAAACATAAATTGATCTTTTGATCGATTATCAGAACTTATCAATCTTCAGTAAATCCTAATTACTGATTAATTAAGATTAATTAGGATATTTACAAGTAACCAGCCTTAAATTAAAAGCAAAACTGTCGAAGTTTGCATCCTCTTTCCTTGACAGATTTTGTTCCTGATGCTAAATGCTTTTAGTAATCTTTCCAAAGGAAACTGGGGGTATAAAGTAGAAGAACTATTGACAGACTTCTAGAGCAAACATGCAGTGGAGATATTGATTGCAAAAAAGATGCTTATCTGACAGAATTTTAACCCATTTGTATCAGCCTCTTCATCGCAATTTTGTCAAGCCTTCTTTGTAACATGCTTTCTTTTGGAAGGCTGTGCTAGTGTGCTTATCTTTCCAATTGTCTGGTACCCTGCCTTTTTAAGGCACTTACTAAATGGAGAGAAAAGAAAAGACAGGTGAAGTGAGAAAAAAAGGTGGGAGATTGAGGAGCATTTTCCTTTACCAAATCCCCTTCAACTTTCACTCTTTTTCATTTTCTGCTTTCATGCCTGTCTACATCTGACCAATAGTCAACTACAGGCTTTTTAATCACTGGCAGTTTTTCAAAGAATTTTTCTGTTCTTGTGTAATTCAACGAGACAAGTTATAAACAACTAATGTTGTTTTTTTTCTTTATTTCTGTCGCGTAGAATAGTAATGCACTGAGGTGTGGATGATTTATTCAGTAGTTAATACCGTCATTTGAATAGAGACAGAGAGAATAGTAAAATTATATGGGAGGCCAAGGGAGGTATTGGTCCTTTAATTTTAAATAACAGAAAGTAGAAAGAATATTTCCGAGGGACAAAATTTGACAATTTATTTGGAGGGGGGAGTGTTTGGCTAAGTATTTTGGGGATAGCTAGGGTAGATTAATGATTTTCATAAGGAATTTAAAGAAGAAGGAGTTGGTGTAACCCACATGGTATTGACAATTTCGTTTTCTTAATGCAATTGGCCGGGATTTTATGTGACTTATATTTTACTGTAGAGGGATTTTGGGTCCACTTTACAAAAAATTGGTTTTCTTTTGAAGCGATCGATGTCTTTACATGGACCTCCTTGTTGCCTTAAATTGGAAGTATCAACTTTCTCTGGAGGGGATAAGTGGTCTCTTTGAGAAAAATATATATATTTACTTTTTATTTGCGTTGCAAATAAGGAATAGTTCTATTTTTGAAGAAAATAAGACGTACCAAACGCTTCAGTGAAAATTGTAAGTAAGTTAAGAGCTTTGGGTATTATCAAGTTTTATTTGATTGGTTTTGTGATGTTGGTATGTCCTGCTGTTTTAAGGATTTATTGAAATGTCTCGAATTAACGTAAGTGGATCAATATCAGTATCTGGGTAACTACCCACCTACCCCTCCCCTAACCCAACATTAACCCTAAGTTGTTATCAATTGACTGGTGTTGAGTTGGGGGGGGGGGGTAAGTGGGCAGTTGCCCAGATACTGATATTGATCCATGTAAGTTATATTTTCTTGACTTCGATTGTGCTTATCTTCAGTGTTGATGCATTGTGTTAGTGAGCGTTTATTTTTGGGTCAGTTATTTTTGTCAAATGAAAATCACTAACAAGTACCAAACAAAAATTCTAATAATAAATATTTTATCTTGAGAAATTTTACAATTTGTGACTTCACTACTCTATCCAAGTTGAAGAATAAGAAATTTTAACCTTGGTTCCTCGGATTCGTGATTTCTTGCCAGGAAGAGGGGAGGGGAATGAGTTATCGAGGGTTCGAAAACCACCTTGCAAGACCACGGTTAACGTTTGGAACTAGTGTTGCTGTTTGAAATAGCTCTTTTTAAATTCAGACTACTTTTCAATTTCACTCTATCGCCAGATTAGTAAGAGTTTTTCTCATTCGGAGTCTGCCAATGATCAACCACGAGTCACACACTGAATTGAAGGATTCTTTTGGTTTTCCTTGCAATCTCTTTCCCCGCTTTCGTTGCAACTCTTACCGAGGCGGACAGAGACAAAACAACTCCCGAAATTTTTCTTTGCTTTTCCAACTCGAAATTTAGATCTCACTAGTGAAATAAATGCGGTTTTAGGTACGTGTCGATAACTTTTGTGGTAAATTGGATACAAATTGGCTCAAAGACGATTAACACCATTTATTCTGCAGCGTTATTAATTTCGAGTGGTCATATTTTGAAGAACATCTGCTTTTAGTAAGACCTTACCATTGGTTAGATCTGAGTTTACATGCAGAGGTAACCTGAAACTTAGATAAGTTTAACGTTTAACAAAGAAATACACGATTGTGTATGTCCAAAATTTCAAGAGAAGCTCTACGGCGAGTGGATTTTTCTTATAGCCAGCATTCAAATAAATACTACCAATTTTACCTAACTACCATCGAGAGATCATGAATGCTTTGTGCGTCTTCATTATAATAACTCTCCTAGATCCGGTTTCAGCGTGTACTGATGGTAAGTTTTCTCTTTAATGTCTCTTTAAGGTTGCTTAACTTTGTTTTATATGCTACAGAAATTGGTTTCGTCCTTTCTCGGATGTTCAGCCAGCACTCGACTAACGATTTTCTCATCCTTAGGTCACAATTATGATTCTTATAAGGCTTATAATTATAATTATAACGTCGATAACCTTGTTTGCACTTTAGGTCTGTTTAAAGTTTCACGTGACCCGCTCGACCCTTTTAAGCAAGTCTTTCATGTCAAACCCGTCTCTGGTATTCGTTACAACACGTTTCTAAATAATGCTTTTTTTTTCCTTTTTGAATCAATCGTTTAAGATTCAGTAAGCTCCGACGACAATTGCGTGACAACGAAAAACTTTTCAATTGATCTAAGCCATCAGCTTTGGCGTGTCTCTTAGCTTTAATTAAATTCAAATGCAATTAAACTATATTTCACTTCAAAAATTATCATGGCCTTGTCCGCGCAATAAAAAAGCGGAGTTTTACCAATGAAATGTGAGTGAAGGAGTTTGTGAGTGATAAGTGAAAAACCTTACTCACTCAAATATTATGATAAATCATATGATAAATGATAAACTGTATTGATGAGGATGGACATCTGTACATGTATGGCGGGTGGTCTAACGTAATTATAGCAGGTGGTCTAGGTCTAGGTACCTTTAAAAAATCTGTGGACGCAAACTTTGCTATGCAAATGAAAACGTGTTAAAGTAAGCTGAGAATAACAGAGTATTATCAACTGAGTTAATAACGTAAATTGGCTTTCGTAAAGAGTTTAAAAGCTAACGTTTTGTTAATCGCTCTGACGAAGGGCTAACGCTCAAAACGTCAGCTTTTAAACCCTCTACTGTGGCAAATTTATGTTATCAACTCAGTTGATAATACTTAATTACCCTGTTATACTCTCCCACCGACGCAGCACCACAGTTTATTTAGAAACTTACCCCTTTATTCATTAAGCTGAGAATAATTTCCACTCAGTTTTCGTTCGATCTATTCTGATATACATAACCGAAGACTTCAACTAACTGTTTTACAGGCAACTGCCGCATAATAGAATTCCCAAGTTACCTTTCCATTGTTGGAAAACGCTTGATTAATCACCTAATCAAAACTATACCGGGAATGGACCAGGACTCATGTGAGTGGCAGTGTTATCTGGACAACAACTGCGTCAGCATAAACTTACAGTTTGAAGGAACAGAACGAAACTGCGAGTTGAATAATTCAACTCATAATGAACACCACGAGGACTTTATCGGAGCAGAGGGCTACTTTTATCGTGGAACAGAAGTGAGTTCATGTTATTATATAGTTTGTACTTTACTTATCCATTTCGAGTTGATGTAACACCAAACAAGTTTTAAGGTTTCGGTTCCGCACAAGCGACTCGTTGGATTGTAATAGTATGCTTCCAGAAGTTTCACAATAGAGGGGAGGAAGCCACGCGCGCGCCCAAACCCCCCCCCCCCTCTCCCAGGCTACTTTCCTATCAAATGCGTTACAAGGGAGAGTACAATCAGAGCGGCCTCAAATGCAGCTTTCCTCGAGTCTTTCAATCGACGTTTTCATGTGAATTCACGAAAAATTGTTTAATTCAGTTCGTCAATGTTTGTTCAATTTCTGCGACCACCCAATTTATACTTAGATGAGCGACTTCCTTTCAAAACTTGCCACCATGAAGGGTTGTCTTGCACTGATTTGTTGATTTGATTTGATCTTATTTGATTTTATTTGATTTTATGAACAAATTAGTGTGTAGCAAGCAAGAAAAACTTACACTATTTTTCTGTACAACTTTTTCTGTTCGGAGTTTGTTTCCGGCATTTATCAGATCAGGTCTTTTTTTTCAGCCTAACGCCTATCCTTACTTCAGTTTAACAGATTTATAATGAAGTCAAGGAAGCTGTCTGCTGATAGAAATTTTAAATAATTAATAAATCTGATACATGACAAATCCCGTGCTTTACCTCATATTTCTCAGAATGCTTGCGGTGGTTCACCCTGCAAGAACAACGCAATTTGCCAATCTGGTTTCACAAGCAAAAGGTATCGCTGCTTATGTATTTCTGGATATACAGGCCATGACTGTGGAGAAGGTAAATGGAAAAGAGCTGGTTACTAATGCACTAATGCACTCACTATTGCTTTACCATTGCAATAAACCACGCAGTATAGTTGGCAAACACTACAAAATCTAAAGTTGTTATATTAGTATTATGAGTATTATTCTGTCGTCCAAAGTGTGTTATGCTGGTAAACCGACAGAGAGTGTTGTAATAGTTAAAAAAAAAAGGAAAAAGCAATAGCTATTATACGGAAGTTGTGTTTCACTTTTTTTTGGTTGAGCAATTGGAAAGAGCTTAGTGTCTCCTGCAGCTACCCTAAGAGTTGTTGCCACACGGTGGTTTCAATTAGTAAACCACAAACCGCAAACAGACACAAGTGTACATATAAAAGTGACTTTTGAAAAAACCTGCGAGTAATCATTATCAAAGGAAATTCCGTTTGCCCCCATTAAAATTTTGTGTTCCGCATTGTTTTCAATATCTCTGGGACCCGAAATCGTCCAAACCATAGAAAAAATGCTTACAAAAATCTTAAAACGAAAATCAAGGTGTATCATGGGAGATTTGAAAAAGCAGAATGCATGATTCCGCAATTTCCAGTAGGTTCTACACAGGCTTGGTTTGTGTGACAATTTTCTAGAACAATAATCTGAACCTTGAGCTCTCTATCCTTCAATAAATGAAAAAGAAAGAAAAAACATGAATCTCGCCATTAAAATGGAGTGATGAAAGCTGTGAAAAAAAGAGAATCTGGATTTAACAATTATGACCAACTTTTGATCATGGTCAATTGGCGTGCATACAAAATCATATAAACTGGTTGACCATTGGCTGTACATGAACTGAACATATTAATCAACTTGCAATTGTCTCTCACAGATATCGATGAGTGCTCTCAAGTAAACGACTGCAGTGAACATGCTAATTGCCACAATACCGCTGGATCTTATGACTGCATATGCCGAGAGGGATATTGTGGAGACGGATACACCTGCGAGAAGGCTGGTAAAGACTGTTCCTTTAAGAAGATGGTCTATAACCATATGATATTGGCCTGTTGGATAAATTAGTAAAAGACAAAATGTTGTACTAAATGCAACACAGACAGCGTCATTGTTGATCAATTGTCGGAATCCAGTATTGCACCGATTTTAGTTCGCTTTACGCCGCTATAATTGGTCAAAAAACTCGCTTCACCTTCTCGATCCAACAAAAGTAAAATGAAAACAAAAGTCAAGACTCAATCAGTTGGACACAATACGATATATACAAGTTTTAAATTTGCACCTGTCTAAGCACTTATGATCAGTCAGCAGCGATGCAACTGTACAAAAAGAGAACGCCCGCTACGAAACAAGCTGAAGGACCCTTTTACTTAATAATCGGCTTTTAAATCCACTAACGATTTTTTTTTCAGAGTTCGTCATCGAGTCAACGATATTATCAGACAATGAATATTACCGCAGTCATCTGTATAGATTCCTGGTTCCAGCTGTTGGGAACGTTTCTCAATGGTCGTTTTGCTTTCGCGCTTCCCTTGGAGATATCGCAGACTCTACATTTCACAGGAACTGCGATGGAAAAATTGACACTATCACTATCATTAAAGTGAATAGCTACGTATTTGGTGGATATATCGACATTCCTTGGTGTAAGCTATTGAACCAATAGACCGCACATTCTATCGGTTCACCGGCCGGCGTACTAACCCACGCGGGATGTTGGGAGAACAAGAGAAAAGTTTGTAAAGCACGAGCCGTGTTCTGCCAACATCCTACATGGGTTAGTAATCCGGTAAACCGAGAGAAAGAGCGGTATATTGTTTTTATAGAATAAATTTTAATTTTCTACGGGTTTAACAGTGCAATTAAGGATAGGTTTTTGACCAATCAGGAGGCTCGTGGTAATTTCTCAGTTATTTTATAACAACAGACAACTTTTTCGCTAGAATTCCAGACTCAATGATGGAATTAAACTCTTCTGGGATTATCTACAATCCCAGAAGAAGTCAACCCTGGGTCCATAATGATTACACGAGAACACAAAGTGGGCCCATCTTACCGCCTCGAGATTTCACGCTTTCATCCCGTGAAAAACTACTTGTAATCTGCCTACATACCTGGTGAATTCTGGGAACTTCTTTAAAGTTACAAGAACAAACATCTGCGGTGTAATTGCACAAGATAAGAACCTCGGCTTTATTGCTTTTTAACATAGCGCAGTATCCAATCCTCCAAATAAACTCACTGAGCTCTCCGTGCGCACCACTTGCTTGGGTCGTTCAGGATGACGAAACTGAGATTATTTCACAAATAAATGAAGGGGTGACTGTGGTGCTGCGTCGGTGAGAGAGTATAGCAGGTAATTTAGTGTTAACAACTAAGTTGAAAACGTGAATTAGCCACCGTAAAGGGTAAAAAAGTTGACGTTTCGAGTGTTAGCCCTTCGTCAGAGCGATCTGACGAAAGGGCTAACGCTCACGCTCGAAACGTCAGCTTTTTTACCCTTTACGGTGGCTAATTTACGTTTTCAACTCAGTTGTTAACACTAAATTACCTGAGATTATTTCACACTTTAACAAGGTCATACCTAACCAAAGGTTGAGAGTCCCCTTTTTGATGTGTTCCGGTGACCGGTTTAATTCACGCGTTTGACAATGACGCATATATTTAAACTCATTTATACGTTTCAAATTCGTGAACTGCCTGTGGTAATAAGGCGCGACGAAAACAGTGTGTAACACATCCCAGACGGTAGGTACTTTAGCGAAAGATAAGCCCATGCTTAAAGTCTTGAATCTTATGTCTTAGTTTCTTTGCTTGCTTCATTTTGTTTGCTTCTTTCTTTTTTCTTGTACAACTCGGCGTGATTCGTTAAAAAGTGAACACACTGAATTCACTTGGACCCATTTTTGCAGTTTCAGGTGACAGAAAGGAAAAGTATGGCAAGACACCCAACGCTTTCATTTTCTCTTTAAATAACAGCGAACAAACTAGAGCTTTTAAAAGCATGGTACGAAACTCAGAAAAGGCCACTTCTAATCATATTTACCTTGGACCAACGTTTGGGAATAAAGACATCCGAATAGATAGATATCCCAGCAAATCCAGAGATAAAACTAGTTCAGTCGCAAATTTCGGTAATGACTACTTCCTTCCAAGTAACGTCACTATTCAAAACTCTCAAACCATCCTGGCAGGTGTCAAAAATTTCAGACCAGACGAACTCGAGGTTTTCTACCTAACCAAGGAGCTCTGCCGTCAAACAAAAGTAAGTCCCCCCTGAAACTACGTTTATCTCAGGAGGTTAGAAGTGATATTTTGCGCATTTCACCTGGTGGTAAAGGAGCGAACACCTCTCTACAAGATTTTAAATCCCTTCGCTATTCAGAGAAAATTATCATGTAAACCTAACTACATCAACCAGTAAATAGGTGATGGAAATGACTTGCACATTATTAAGCGGGTGACTCAACGCAATATTTACTGAAGTCGTTTGTTGTAGTATTTTTGATGTTAGGTTTCTTATATGGTTTTGTAACTAGCTTTTAGTGCCAAATATTGTAGTTTCTGCGCTGTAAAAGGTTCGTTGTGCAACATCCAGAAGCTTCAAAGCTTTTCCCACAGAAAATAACATTTTAATTGAATCATGTTTTCACAAGGCTTTTTGATCGTTTTGTGGTCTGATGTGCCATACCTTGCAACAAATCACCGTGAACATGTATTTCATTTATTTACAGAACCTTACAGAAGGTTTAATTTTAATTGCGAATAGGCTTTTTTACCTAACACATACCTTGTTCTGTAATGCATAGTTATCGATAAGAACTGGGTTATAACTAGGCGTTAGTTTATCATTAAAATCTGCATAGATAACTAAATGGAAGGAGAAAAATTTTGTTTGCGAAGTAACGGTATTCTTTTGCTGTTCTCAGTCTGTTTCATTTCCTATTTACTATGTTAATATGGTAAACATTTGAAAACAGTAAGGAATTTATTTAAGAAAGGCTACTTCATTTTGTACCTTCTCCGCTCTTTTGCATAAAGACAGTTATCGTCAATCTGTTAGAAATGGATTACAGATGACGTCAAAATGTGGCAGGAACAAAGAAGTGGTACATGAGCCGCACCATGGATGTAGGCGAGTTGACAGTAGACAACCTCATCATTGTGTAAGCAAATAATAAGGGATTAAACTGCTGCGAACGGCAAATTCCAAGATAGCACAATCACTTCCAACTCTTTACTAGCATAAATTATTCAAATTTTACTTAAATTATCCATTTTTATTAATAAGTCCACCAGAATCATTTACTATATACCTGTACAAACAAAACCCCTCAGTTATGATTCTTCGCAGGGCAACAGACCAGTTAATATCAGCTCGAGTTGACTTAGAAAATATTTTCTCCAGCTCCTTATTGAATTCAACTTCACTGACGATTTCCTTCGATTTTCTTAAGCTTGATCTTTTGGAGTTCAGTTTTGTAAGTGTGTCTTTTTCGAATTCGGAGGCTGTCTAAAAACAGCTTAGGAAAAAGTGAATTCACAGGCCAAACTGGAAGATTCCTTCAGTTTCCAATTCTTTCTTTCTTTACCATTGTGTTAACTCTTTTCTGAAAAACAAAGAACCTTTAACGAAGTCTTCTTACCTTTTCCAATCCCGATATTAGACTGTGATGATAAAACTACTAAGTTTCAGATACAACTCTGACTAAGAGCGACCATGATTGCAACGTCAGAAACTGAGTAATTTTTCTAAAATTATAAATCAAGGGGTTAGGGAAATAAACTCATTTTGTGCCGACTTCCGCAGAAAGAAGCAAGAAAATGTGAGAGAAAAACAGCTTCCAATGTAATAAGTAATTAAGCAAACTTTCTTTTTAGCAACTTAATTATTTCAAAATGATATTTATTACTACTTCCAACGGATCACTTAATCGTGTTTCTTTATTTATAAATAAAATATGTTAGATTCACTAAATGTTTCGAGGGTATGCACGTAATTTTGGCAAGTTTTCAGCTGACATGGAAACACTCTTTCTATTTCGTCTATGAGATTCTTTTTTGCTTTCCAGCTTTAAATTCAAATCAAATGTGTTAGAACTATTCTTCACCTCATAAATTATCATGGTTTCATCCGCAAGCATAAACAAAAACCGAGAAAATGAGTTTTAGTCTCTTATTAATGAGTGAAAAAAACTTTTTCTCTAAATTGCAGTCATATAGCGCAACAAATATTCCTTAAGGAGGCATCTGTATAACAGGCTATAAATTATCTCGTGTTCCTCTTTTTTCTTTCTGCGTGCACGGTTAGATCTCAGATCGCATAACAGTTTCTCGTGTGAAGAAATGATGCTCGCAAGTGGGCTGCTGTTTAAGAAAAGTACCCAGTTAGTCGCCACTATCAACAGGGCTAAGAAACCACATGTCGGGCGCGAGGCAAACTTCGGTGGGTTCTTTAGGCCCGTAAGGGGAACGCGATGTGTATAAAAAAAATATATTTTGGCATGCGGATGTTATTCAAGTGAAGAAATATTCCATGCAGGGGAGCTTCAATAAGAGAAATTAAAGAAAAGAACCCTATCAAAACTCAAGCTCCGACGGGACTCCAAAGCATGCCTCTCTTTAATTGCAACTCACCATCACCACTTCACTTGATTATCACCCGAATATCAAAGTATAGTTTATTCTCTTAGGATGAAATTAAATGGAACTGAAAAAGTAAAGTCCCACTTAGAGCTAACTTACTGACTGGATCTATACTGAGATGTAACCAAATACTATGTGTTTCCAGAAAAATTTCGTGTCTTGGAATTTCCAAGTTACTTTTCCTTCATTGGAAAACGCTTGATTAATCACATGATGAGAGCAATGTCGGACATAGACCAGGACTCATGTGAGTGGCAGTGTTACCTGAATAACAACTGCGTCAGCATAAACTTACAATTTCAAGAAACAAACCGGGAATACGAGTTAAATAATTCAACTCATAATGAGCGCGACGATGATTTAATATCAGCAGACGGCTACTTTTATCGTGGAACAGAAGTGAGTTCATGGACTTACAGCTTGTCTTTTTTCTATCATTTCCCAAGACCAAAAATTGCAATAGGCTATGAAGTCCTTCAATTATTAGGCGCTACAAGGCACACCAGCCTTCTTACAACAATTGAAGGGGACAGGTTAGAATTTCCCCCAGACTTTTTGTCTTCGACATTCCTTCCTTGTAACCAATAAGGTAAGATTGGAAAGGCGAAATAAGGTTACCACAAGCACAGCTCACTTCCGGCTCCCGCAGTCGCGATAAAATTTGTGGAAAATCTTTCATTTTCAGTGCCACCGAATTTAACTTTAATTAAAATATAACAAACGAGAAAACTGCGAGAAAACTCCCAAGATTCTAGACAGACTTATGGAAAACACTCAGTGTCATATTTGAGTCCAAAACCATGGGCCAGACTTCCTAATCAAGTTAAATCATTCCGTTTTAAGAATTTTTAAAATTACAACAGGAAAAGGGATTTGAACTTTTTAATTGATACGAGCAGTGGTTGCAAATGTCATACATGTTTAACGTGACTACTTTCTTCGTTCTCAGTTACTTTACTCATAACTTTATTCTCTTTTGTATTTTTATTTTGTTAGATAGGCTTTTATCTTGTAAATAATTACAATGTTTAAAAATTTCATTTGTACGAAGTCTTTACAATTGTAACTTGTTTAAGGTGTCCCCAATTAGCAGCAATGCTCAATCACGTTGGCATGTAAATAAAGTTATCATTATTCACTGAAATCATTTAACGTTATGATTTGATATGTCCACCTTTTTTTCTCTTTTGGATTTTTTTCCTTTCTTCCCAAAGCTCAACACATTACACCGCTAACAGGTAATGCGGATACACGAATTTTACTGCTAGAGAGCGAATAAATGCAATATATGTTTACTACTTATGCAATGTCACGGACAAAAGCGAAGAACATTGAATTACATTTTTTTCGAATTTTTATAGTGCAACTGGCATCGCATGCCAGAAATTGTAGTAGCTGCGCTGAAAAATAACTTACGTTTAACAACATGACGATTTTTTCGTGCTAATCATGTAAACTCTGATTGAGCTATGTTAAACACATTGATCGATTTGTTTCAAGCTATCTTCGTAGTAATAGACTATCTTAGAGAAAATAATGGTCGCATTATTATCTCTTGACCATCTAATATCTGATTTATCTTGCAAGGCCGGATTTAAAAATTCAATTATCTACAGAAACAAATGGTAGGCAAAGTTTGTCAGTGGTCTTTTTGAACCAAGTCATACCTTCTTCTCTAACGCATGATTATTGATGATAATCAAATCATCTACAAAGGAATTAGTTTATAAATATACTTTTTAACAGGCAAGTTGTTTTGGCGAGAAAGTGCCAAATATTCGATCGAGTGATTACGCTGCCATATTGGGTCGATGAGATCGACGAAAGCGGTAAGTAATTGTACCAAAAAGGTAGGTATGAGCGTGAAAAACTAGTTTGCCCCAAGCTCTCCACGATTTTGCCAATCCATGAAAGCATTTCTACACTCGATTTAAAATATGGCTCACTTGCCAGAAAATAAGTCTGCGGTACGGACTGGTTTATCAAAGAAACCGGAGGGAAATATTTTGTACGGAATGACGGTATTCTTTTATCGCTTGAAGTTTGCTTCATAATCCTTTCTTTGTTTGAATAAAGTAAACATTAAAAAAAAGCAGTTATGACATTATAACCTAATTATGTGGCATTTAATATGCATGTAAATGACTCTCTGAGACGTATGGGAATGCGTATTACAAATTGAAACATTTTGTGATATTTCGTCACAAATTAAAACATTTTGTGGTATTTTCATAACTTGCGATTCATTTTCTGCCTTCTCAGCCGATTACAACATGAAAAAATGGCCACCTCCAGCCGTTTTCGCACATCTTTGACGCTCACTCAATTATGCATGCCAAAGGCATAAAACGACACTGCTTTATAAGTTAATGGAGCTTATCGTCTTAGTTGTCAGATTCTAAACAATGGCACGCGATAGTCTCAGCTGACAAATTCTCATCAAAGGCACGCGCCACCAATTCACTTTATTCAGACTGCATTGTGTCTTCAAGAATGCTTGATTAAACAGCGCCGCTTGCCATGTGCCATTCTTGCAGAACTGTCAATTTGGTTATAGCCCACATCGGCTTAGCGACTGTATTGTCTTCAAGAATGTTAATTCAAGCAGGTTGATAGCCCGCATAGTTTCAGCTG